TCTCCTTTCACATTAAACTTTGTTCTATCTCTTTCTACTTAAAAACGGTCTTCTATATTGGTAAATCTAAGTAATGAACTTACAAGGTGTAGTAAGTTTTGAAGTTTTGAGTTTAAGTTGAGTTTTGAGTTTGGTGTAGAAATTTGACCTACACGTTCCATTTTTCCAAAATTGCATTTGGACAGTTAAATGTGAAACATTCATTCAGAATCAATCTACGCAAAAGTGCCGGATCCAAATCCCTGTCCAAAGGGCTGAATGCAGTAATTTATGGACCACGTTTACTCGATACACGTATCACGGGCTCCCAGTGGTATTGTGAGGCTCGACCGATTGATTTCCCAACTCTAAACAAAGTACAGATGACAAAGCTACAGAGATAAACATGAATAGAGCGGCCGCCCCATCAATTGAATCCATTAAAATCAGTTCATCCCCTCGACCTCTGATAGTATCAATTTGGGGCGATTGACCAGGGCAAGCCTTGAATTATTTACTGTCATTCAAATTGATTTTCCGTTTGTTCTCTAAACATTTGACTCGTCGATAAATTAAATTTATTGTATTTTGGCTCAAAAAACGTGGTTGAACAATTAAATTGCAATTCTTCCAGTTCGTTCAAGAGATCTTATTTTTGACGTCTTTCTGAAAGTTGAATGTAAGGAAATTTATGAAACACAATATCTCTATTTGCGTACCGAGCAAACGCTGTAAAGTCTTGTTTCAAACGGAGTTATTTCAAACAGAGGTCAGACTTACCAGTTCATATTTACTTGGATCTAAGTAAATATTGTTTGTAATCTATTTTTGAAAATTTTGATGACATTAATCTAATCTAGTGCATACAAAATGGTTGTAGAGAACCGATAAGCCCTCGTTTCTTACACCATAGATTAAAGGAGTAGACAATGATAATGTCTTCTTCTTCACTCTATTTTACACCTAACCAACGCTACGTTTATACTGGAATTATTACAATAGTGTGTATTTTATGCCACTGATGGCAATATTATTACGTAACGGATACCTTAATGTTATAATCATGATATAACAAGTGTCTAAAACTAATAAAAATATGTTTTAAAGTATCATTGACAATGGGAAATTAAGGAGTTTTCCGCTTTTAGACGTTTTTTCCACCGTAGTTCACTTGATTTATGACAAATATACTTAAGTTTTATCAAATTTGTAGTTGAATTCCCTTTATATATTATTCGTCATACTTTGTTTAGTTTGCCTGTTTTCTACAATTCAAATAAAATCACTTCAACCACCCTTTTTAATTGGACATTTAAAAATACTGTAGTTTGCGTAAAAAAAATTAATTGCTTGCATAATAAAACAATTGGCTAAGTCACAACAAAATATATATTTACAAGTTTCCCAAAATTTTCTTATATTCAAATCAATAAAGTTTTACAGAACACTTCATCATTTTAAGCAAGTAGAATCCTTTTATAGTGTGCGTGCTACTTTTAAGAGCCCGGAATTACAGTGCAAGCCCATACTTAAAGATCTTGCGTATACAATGATAAACCTTGACGTAAAAGTTCCAGTAATCTTTTCTTAATCCGTTTACCAGTCGTTATTTGCATACAACTGTCCACAGACTAATTTAAAGTGTTTAGCCTATTTAAATATTATTATAATCTAGTTTATTGCGTTGTATACTGGAAAGGCTGCATAGCTACAGAACAGGTTGCTATCCTCGTGCCATATAGCTGTGCATAACTTCCTTTTATGCTTCTCGTCCCAGGTTGGCGACCTTGATGCAAGTTATGCGTTAATTGTTGCATAACCTAATGGGGCTGTAGAGCTATCATGATATACCTGCTAAAAGTAAATAAGTATAATACCTTTCCTTGACCTCTTCGTGAAATATTCGTTATAGTTAATTATTGGTTATTTGTCGTACCGGTTATTAGTTTTTAGTTACTTGTTGATAACTGGTTCGGAAAAAATTTCGTGTCCTGTAAAAGTGTGGGTTCACTTCATTTTACCTTGTTATATTTGACTACCAAGTACCTAGTTTTTGAATAAAATCCCTTTCTAAACGTAATAAACTACACAAAATGTTAAACATAGCTTTAAATTCAGCTACACTTTTCAGTAAACCCCAAAACTTGATCTTGATGTGAAAAATCACAAGGATAATTAAACTGGTTTGTTAAGCGTTAAGGAACCAATTATTATTATAGGAACCAACTTCACAGCGGTGATATTATATCACTTTACCTTGTCAATAATTATTCAAAATCTATATCAGGGAAACGCACATTCCACTAATTGATACGTAGCTAATGTAAATGTTACATTAGCATAATATAGTTTTCCTAGAATCAAGTGTCAGATTTCACCAGTTTTCAAATGTTTACTTTCTGTAACAAATTTATGATTATAGGGATTTAAGTAATTTAGCTAACCCGTTTGAGCGACCTTAAATAGTTTACAAAATATTAAGTGACTAATAAGAGTAAAATTAACCAATACAATTGTGTAAGGATTACAGTGTTTGATATGTTTCTCGTCGCGGCCAGTGTTGATAAGGACTCAGCTGGATGATAAGCGATGTCGGCCTCTGAACTGAGAGGTCGGTAGTTTGGTGGTCTTTGGTTGTCGTTATCTCTCCCGTGGGGGATGATAAACTAAATATACGGCTTTGGGCAGTTTGCGTCCCCAGTCACTGTTTTGGCAAATTGCCACAAACTTTGTTTTGCGAAAGTGACATGTTATTTAGACATTACAACTTTATTGATGTTGAAGTTGTAGGTATACTGTATTTTACTTGTTTTTATATAATGGTTATTTTATCGAATTTTCCTATGGGGATGAAGTTATTTTTAGTTAACCTCTATCATCATAGGTAAGGATAACGGTGTGCAAGAAGAAGAAGCTGCTTCTTCTGCATTTTCATCAATTCCCTCTGAATAAACAGCTGATCTTAGACAGTAACAAAGCTATAAGAAAAACATTTCCCTCATCATTCATTCTTAGCTTAGAATATGACAAACTGTTTCAAAACCCAACATAATATATCTTTTACGTTTTCTCAATGGTGCTCCAAAGGTTCCCCTCTTCTCACCTCTCTCCCCCAGATTCCTCCAAGATCCCCGTTGCGTGTTCCATGGTCGTGTGGTAGGTTTTACACTTTCACCACAGATACGTACTGTACTGCTCCCAGTGCAATTCACACGCTTTGCCACTCCAAAGGTCACACTGATTCACTCTCATAGTCCCCAGGTTATCACACTATAGTAAACTGCGCTTTGTATGGCTAAATCTATAAGCAGTAACAGTTAACACGGTTTACTTATCGATTAGAGTTGCCACATAACAGTAGGACTTATCTACACAGATGGTTAAACGTAAATGCTCGGGATTCTGAGGACTGTCCAAAATGAATCTGGACTGTTTTGGGATCTGATCTGGGTTTTGTATTTTGTACATTGATCTTTTAATGAATAATCAATGAACCTCAATTGTCAACCATTCATTAAGTTGGAGTTGATTGATCAATGAGTTTGTAACCAGACCTCACAGCACAAGTTGATTTTTCAAAGTTTATTTGTTGATCTGTATTTTCTTACATAGTAATCTGATACCATCCTAATCAGTCAGTAAATATGATATTGTGGGAGAGATAGATTATTAGATTTATATTTTATAATTTATATTTGAACTAAGTTTTAAAATATTTTAAAATGATGGTCACATTATGATATATTCATGAAATTTACCATTTACTGTTGTCATATGGATTTCTATTATTCTATGTGAAACATTCTAAATATTTAATGTACCTTGAAGTTTTTATTTCATTAAATGTTGTGTTAAAGTAAATTGAATAGAAAAATTAATACTTCTTACATCAATTTATCAAAATATAGAGTGTAGTGTAAGAGTGCCAGTGTAGTATAAAATATTTGTAAGGACCTTGGTGCATTTTGTTCCAGAATACCCTTGGGAATTACAAATTAAATAACAACATGAATTAAAACCTGAAAAGTTTAGCTAGCCCAGAGCTACTGGTGATGGGGGTGGTTGGAGAGGGTGGGGCAAGTGCCCAGTCTTACTGGAGGGCTGAGTGCTGGGCTCTGTACCTCATCTGTAAAACCTCTCACCAAACTTTTGCTTACAACTTTCACTTTACACTTCCCCTCTGGCGTTGAAGCCTAAAACATTACTGAATATAGCTTGATTAGATAAAATCTTAAAAGAAAAAGGATGCCTTAATTGGTATGTGTTTTGATGTGAATTGGTCTTTTGTAACAGTGTGAGTGGTAGAAAATATTGAGCCAATGCATACTATAAAACTACTTACACATTCAGAAAAAGTTAACCTTAGATCCAAAAAACAGAGAACAATCATTACTATAGTTCGGCCGCTTAGAAAACGACCTGCGCGCTAATGCTAAACCAATGTTGGAGGAGGTCGCTTTCTAAGCGGCCGAACTATACAAATATGTTTAACTTTATTTCTTCACTACATGTTGTGTTTGGATATCGTACATAGTGTATAATTTCTTCATTTTCATATTATCAAAAAAACACATATTATGAAATGAGATTGTTTTGGATGAGACGGTTTAAAATTCTCCCTTGAAAACCTGTTAACACTAAATAGAACCTCATTAGTTTTGAAATGGTAAAAGTTCAATTTGACATGGGACTAAGCAGGTCAAAATTAGATGGTTAGTTAATTTATGACCTTTTGTGGGGAGTTTCAAATAGTTTCCTTACCTAAGAATATTTTTCAATGTAATTAGAGTATTTTCATTCTACTTACTGGTGGACTCACAATCAAATAGTACACAGCCTTATCATAGCTAAAACCCATTAGTGATTGGTAGGATTTGAACCTATGACCACTCGGTACTAAAGTAGTGCGCTTTGATCACTAGACCAGCTGTGTACCAAGTGGATTAAATTGTAACAAAATCAAGGATTAGACTCTTAAATCTTTCTTGGTCCCACACACTCACCATATCATTATGTTTCAGGCGGAGGAGCTCAACAGCATCGTAGGCAATGCATTCCGAATGGCTTACGCAGCTCAGCTACAACGAGCTCCTACCTTTCACGACGTGATTGCCTCCCAGCTGCAAGACAGCCAGAGAATCACCTGGGTAAGGCCAACTACACTAAATCATTAAGCTATAAAACGCTACTGTCTTTGTATAACACTAGAAAAATATATTTGAATTCATCATTATGTGAGTATATTTTTGTGTTGTTGAACTATTTCAATCGAGTTTAATTGCGTTCAGTAGAAACTCTGGCGGTAATGGGGTTTGTGTCCTGATGTCTTCACTTAACATGCATCAGCAGTGTTCATGTTCATATTAAGTTACTATACTCTGTTCACAAAATTTAGGAAGTTTGAGGGGAAGCGATTTCATTCCCTCCACCACACTCTAACTTTTAAACAACAGCCAACTGCTGATCAGCTGATATGCATCAAGGTAAAAAAAAGTGGTGGGGTAACCCAGGAACACTTAAACGTCTACATTTTGTAAACGGACTATAGCATAGCCTCCTCTAATACAAAGCCGTGGAGGGACAAAAAGGGCAACTCCGAGAGATGTCTAGTTAAACCCAAACAACTGTGGTATTAATTTATAATGGAGTATAGACAATGTTTATGTTTACAATTTTGTTAGTAAAAAGGTTTCCTTGAAAGCAACTATCGTTCTAATTTGGACAGCATAAGCTAAAAGTCGCTTTTGACTTTTAAAAGACGTCTAGTGATTTTACATCAGTCGATTGCCATGACTCACAACATTGAGTTGGTCCAGTAAGGATGACGTTGCAAGGTTGGAGGCCGCCTAATTGAGGGTTGGAGTGTGGAAGGATCAAAATTATAGGTTCAGTCGGCACAGAAGCCACAACCAAACACATCGGTCTTGTTTTGACAACCACTCACTACTTTTTGTGCTGATTTCACTGAATAATGGTGTCATTAGTTTCTCTTGAATGTGACATCCCTACTTTGGCGTTTCCTGTGGAAAAATCATTCTAAGTTCCATACCGGTATTTCATCATCACTGTACTTTATCTACTATAGGGAACACAACTAAGGTGTATTTTCACCCGAATATAACAAAGTGTGTATTAGGAGTTTCCTTTTTTCCTTCTTTGCAAATAACTTTTCAGTTTACCATCATAATATGTGATACATTTTATCTCATAGCACAGTACAATGACCTTCTGTATATTATTATTTTTTTTTTTTTAAGTCCAGTTTAAATTTCTTAAATTTTATTTTGACTAATTTACTGATTCATAAATGGAATTTGAGCTTGAGGTATCAATAAGCTTATGGGAGCCAAGACCCCTATTCAAAATGGTTGAGCATTACCATCCCTTCTTGAAAAACAGCTGTGCTTAGTAGACAGCAGCCATAAAACTTTAAACCAATTAATATTTAACCCAAGACAATTTTTTATGGAGAGAGCTAAAACCCTTATGGAAATTCGTTCATCTGTACTTCCCTATAATTGATCGCTACCTTAACTATCCATCTAAAGAATTTTAAGCATTTTTAACAAAGTTTTTTTTTTCAGCCCAAGCAAATCCCAGGAACCGTTAGTGACAACATGGACACCATGAATGTCAACTCCGGTTCACCTCCGACCCTAGTTCTCCACAAGACTCCCCCCTCCAGCATACCAGGGCTGAGGACATACCACACACATACGCACACACACACGCACACGCACAGCGACTCTACGCACAGCACGCCAAGCAGTGAGGAGAGTAACTCTCCCACGGAACTCAACAGCTACAAGAGGTTAGCAGACAAGCCTCCATTGATCAAGAGGCTAGCAATGGGTCTGACGGGGACCACACCACCCGAGGAGGACGGGTTCCCTCTGGTGGACCCGGTGCACCCAGACCCCCAACCACCCACGGGAAAACTGCTGGAGTTTGAGAACAACAGGTGGGTCTACGTTTTAGGTGTAATATTGTGTGTAATACTGTAAGATATTATTTATATTCTAAAAACATAGGTGGTTTCTTCATCTGTATATCCATTTTTTGGGGGATGAATGCAAATACTCTTTAAAATAACCCATAGGGTTCAAATTTTACACGTATTTGGATGATTAGCCCAACCAACTCATTAACACATGAGACTATACAGTATATATTCTTAAAATACCTAAGAGATATACTCCATGGATATTCAAAGTTTTGAGGAGGAACTATTTTCAATAACAACTGATGAAGTGTATGAAAATAATATTGATTCCGGTCAAAAACAATCAGCTGATTTTCCTTTGTTAAAAATTAGTATTACATTTTTCCGCTAAAATTATAACACCATACATTCACAGAACTAAATTATTGTGGTGACTGATTTTAACAAGGTATGTTTGGTGACCAATTGAAGAACCATACTATCATTGTTGACAGTTTAATGAATGACTATTTCGCTTCTTCTTCTTACAGATTATCCCAAAGTTCTCCAAGCAGTTCAGACACAGATCTGAAGACCAAGCGGATATCCCAGATCAGCAGTAGCAGCAGTTCAGTCTCAGGTACGGGGACTGCGTTGACTGATAGCTCCACCCCCCCTCCTCCCCTACCACCAGAGAGGACGGACTCTCTCAAGCCTGAGGAAGGGGAACTGCGAGCAGCTCCTTGGTTCCAGGCTGGCATTCCTAGGTAGGTAAAATTTTGATTACAGCGAATTAATTCTATAGTGATCTTTTAAAGTAATGCTGTTGAATGATTTTAATATGTTAGGTGAAATCTTTAAGTGCAGGATTTTCTTCTGTCTTAGGCAACGGCCACACAGGCGATTTTTCACACACAAACACAGTGTAAAAACGCGCGAAAAATTTGAGCAGCATTAAAACAAATACCCGCCCACTACTGTGGGAAAACACACTGCGTGGGGCGTTCCCCATTACATTTAATGCTGCTCTTATATTTTGCATGTTTTCATGGTGTGTTCTTGCGTGAAAAAAACTCCTGTGCGATAAATGTAATCACCAATTACATTTATTTTCATATTGGACCCACAACCTTAGACTAGAAAGAATAAGGCACTAGAGGCAAGGAGTACTATCATTAGACTGATTTTACTGAAACCCTATTGCACATTTGGTTGAATGTTGAATGGGGGATGAGTGTAGAATGAACAAAGTGATAGTTTTGGAGCTGATTGTAGTGATTCGTTTTTGATCAGTTATGTCCCAATGTTGTATATCAACACGGGACTAATGCTAACAGCTGACTGTCATCCTAATCTGGCAAAGCTTTACGTATAATGCACCAGGAATGTATGAAAAAGGGAATTTAAACACTGGCTTATCTGAGATTGACTGTAATGGGATGTAAAACCATTCTAGGTACCATGTGTGAAATCTTAAGGGAAGAAAGACATGAAATGATTCATTTCATATGAAACATGTCGGCTATAGTCAGTAACAAGATTACAAGATTGCCCCACTCAGCTCCATTCATACTTGGTTAAAATTCCACCTTCGTATGGTTGCCATTTCAATTAAAAATATTAAAATATATTTTTGCCAGGGAATCACAATATTTCCCAAATTCACTCACTGCCTCTAGCTACAATAGGCGTTTGATTCGGTATGATTCTTGAGGCAGGTTCCTTAGCTGCTGAGGACAGCAGAAACCAACACAAGGGTTAGGTACAGACGTTTTCCTGGCTGTCGGATTTGTCAAAGGCTGTAGGGGGGCAAAGTAGACAACTCCAACCCCCCCCCCCCCAACCCCCCTGAGAATCTGAGAACCCAAAAAATTAACGATGTGATTCTATTCTAAATAACGAGTGGCACTGAGCCACTGTCACTCAAAAATTTCTTCTGCTCTCTTGTTGAACGATGTTCATCGAATCAGTCCCATAAGATATTTAATTTGTTTGCTGGAAAGCCTAACCCATGGCGAATGCTCTAGCATTAGAAATTAGAAGCGTAACTTCAACCTCCAAGTCCTTCGGACCACCCCTCATAATCCAACTTGTCCCCCCCCCACTACCCCCAAAATCACTTCCTGGATCCTTCACTGCCTGAAACAACTAGCACTACATTATCAAGCCAAACAACCAATGAATGATAGCTGGTCTAGTTCCTAATGATGGAAAATTTAATTTTCTAAGATGGATGAAATTTATCAGATGTGGATTTTTATCCACTTTTTTGTTGTTACAAATTGTACTTGTTTTTATATGTTCAATGTGTTCTAACAGAGAGATCACTCTGGAAGTGCTAGGCCAGGAGCCGGTGGGTGCCTTTATGGTCAGGGAGAGTACAAGCAAACCTGGCTGTTTCGCTCTCTCGCTGAGAGTGCCTCGAGAATTCCAGCCACTAGGAATTGCTCATTACCTCATCCTAAGGACAAGTAAAGGCTATAAAATCAAGGTAATATTGATTGTAAGAGATATAAGTGTGTTTTATAGCATATTTAGGTGTTTCTTTTTCTGTGTATCGTCAAGTCAACGAAAAACGTGGGGCGCATGTTGATTTACAATTAACTTCACCTATTGAACTATTATGATCTATTGCATGCGTCCCACGTTTTTCGTTTGAAATCTTACAAGTATTTATTCTCTCAACATTTTATAAATTATTTTATACTTTTTAGTGCATTTAAAAACGTTTTATTTTTAAAAAGTATTTTTATTTATAAATTATTACTAGTTTTTACTCTTTATTGTGAAAATATGTTAAATCTATTTTATATAGCCTCTTAATGCATAACCAAAACCCAAAACCTTATTATCTGTAATCAGATGTTTTATCTTTACTTTGAAATGATTGTTTTATATTTTTAGAATATCTTGGGAGCAGAACCTGTACCTCTTAACCTCTGCTCTTCTAACTGTCAAATTTAAGTATTTACAGCTGACTTAAATTAATTGATATGTTTACATTTTTTTTAAATGTAAACATGGAAAATTTGGAAGCCAAAGGGGCGTAGCCCAAGGGAAATATGAAAATTAAATTATATAATATTGCATTGTCATCCAATTGTGAGCTATGTTTCAAGTTTCAAGTCTCTAGCTCATCGGAAACTTCGTTTAAAATTGATATCAAAATTTGTAGGAAAGCGAGCTAATAAAAACAAGCCCTTGGGGCGTAGTCCAAGGGAAATATGAAAATTAAATTATATAATATAGCATTGTCTTCCATTTGTGAGCTATGTTTCAAGTTTCAAGTCTCTAGCTCATCGGGAAGTATCAACATTTGCAAGAAAGCGATTTAATGAAAACAAGCCCATGGGGCTTAGCCCTAGGGACATATTAAAATTAAATGATATAATATTGCATTGTCTTCCATTTATGAGCCATATTTCAAGTTTCAAGTCTCTAGCTCGTCGGGAAGTTAGTATAAAATTGATTTCAAAATTTGTACCGGACAAGAAAGCGAGCTAATAAAAACGTTAAAAAAAAAATATTTAGTGATGGACAATATATAAACGAACAGTCTAAAGGAATCATTCAAAACTATAGAAATTTAGTTGAACTTTAGAAACTGGGTTGAAATAGTCAACGGTTGAAGTTGACCATTTCAACCCAGTTTCATACCTAGGTCGCAGCTGTGATTGTTGGACAAGTATAGAATTTCCTCTATTTCTCCAATTGACCAGGGTATGAGTCAAAATTGAGTGGTGCCTCAAAGAAACAAAGAAGGGCCAAAAGAGATAATGTTCTCATTAGAATGGAATGGTTTGATGATTAGCCAATTTTGTCACTAGGCAGAGACTATAATACCATTTTAAATGATAAAAACTTGTCCCCCAGTCACCTGACAAAGTGGGCTTCCTTGCAATAATTACAGCCGGCAAAGTAGCCAATTGCTGCATTAACTTACTTTTGTCGCATTAATTTTTTTTCTGCACTCCAGTATTCCAACCAAACAACACAAAACAGTGTACTTTTATTAGACACGTAATACATGTATAGTTGAAAATAAGTTTGCGACATTTAAAGATATACTACAACTACGATCAGCTGGTGTAGTGTTTACCATTTAGTTCAACGCTTGGATTTAACCTAACCTAAAAACTAAAACGTGTTGTATAGTGTTTGAAAGACTAATTATTTATATGCTTTATAGTAATTGTGAGAAAATATAATGTTAACACGAGCGCAAAGAGCCTTTGCTGTAGTCGAGAAAGTTTCCACACTCACCTGCAGCTTGTGTGCAGCATAGTGCCACTCCACACACTAGTTACACAAATAACTGTTTCCCAAGCAATAACTCCTACCATAAAAAGAATAAACAGTATCAGCAATCTGACAAATACTTTCTCCCATAAGCCTGTCTGTTTGGGAGCAACTATGATATTTTATAGAGAAAATCATAAAAGTTGCAATAACTTTTGAACCAAAATTGTTACAGCAATGGGCAGTTGCACTATTTTGTTTAGAATCTAATACTATAATAAAACATTACTTTCAATCAAAACCAGCTTTTTTCCTATAACCCAACTTTTTGTTATTTTATGGGAAAATAACATAAGTTACAATAACTTTTGAACCGTAATTTTTAATTTTTATGGAAGTGGGATTTGTACCCTTTTGTTCTAAATTTAAAGCCATAAAAAACCAACATTAATCAAAACCGGGTTTTTTCTGAAATATGATTTTTTCAATTATATTTACTCAAAAATGTCTATGAAAACACTACTTTCTCCATTATACTATTGTATAAGGGGAGAAAGTAAAAATCAATCAGCTCACAATTCCATTGCTCACAATTATTATAATTAGTATTCCATTTTCCTGCTGGGTGCGTTGTTTCTTACGTAATATTTACCAAACCATTTTTGTTCAAGAAATGTATGGTAATGGTTTTAGTTTTGTTATTGTGAACGTGCATATTTTACCATCATGAGGAAAGTGTTATTACTTAAACGGTCTTGAAAGTGCACAGATTTGAATGCACTTCTCTAATTCCCAGACTCGGCTTAGCATTGATCATGACATTGTGTTCAGGTTAAGTTAGGCGTTCTACATGCATCTGGATAAACTAAAAATTGCAACTTTAAGTATTTTTGATGAAATACACAATGTCAACAATTATTCATAGACCAAATGTTACAAAATTTTCTGACATACACAACTTGTTGTTGCAGGGGTTCACTAAAGAGTTCAGCACGCTGACTGCGCTCATCACCCACCACTCTGTGATGCCCGAGCTCCTCCCTTGTCCTCTGTCTCTCAACAGGTACAACCCTAGCTTTGTCAAGTCAGACTCCAACAAAGACTTTGCAGACATCGACTCAGACCCTGACTACAACACACTAGCAGACTTTCGTAAAATGATGGCCGACCTAAACGTCTAGTGGACTTACCAAACATCGATGTGATCAAGGACAACCAAGCTGAATGTTAAATTTTGGAAATTTTTTGGCAGGTTGTTAAAATGGATTTGTTGTCGTGATTTGGACAAGATTTGTTCAAATGGAAGATTTTTAAAGATCATTTCATAACAGATGTTTTTAGTTAATTTATAAATCAATAAGCTAAAAGTATTATAAATTATAATTACAACATAAACATACAACATAAAATACAACATAAGTATTTAACAAAATTGAAATATTTACTAAGTACAGCAGTCTCCTTCTGGACAGATATATTTTGCACGGACATCATCAGTTGATTCAGACATGCTTCTCTTGCAAATTACTCTCACATAATGCACACTAATTACTATTCCATATCAAACGAACAAGTTACAACTGTTCGTCTTATCCTGTTTGTATGTGTTATTGTTGTTTTACTTATTTTAGTGTACTTTATTATAGTTCACTAATTGTGCACACTGTTGCATCATTACACACAGTTATGTATATAAACATCATAATATGGTTTTTAAACATAACTGTTTATGTTTTTAATAAATTCTGACGGATCAGATTTTTTTGGACTAGAAGTGTCTAAACAAGAGGGAAGCTGCTGTACCATTATGTTTTTTTCAAAGAAATTAACTTAAATTTTGAATAACATTGAAAGTAACATACCCAATCTTTATTCATTTATAAAACGTTTTTCAATATTCTTGCCCAGACACTTTACTTATAAAATGTTTCAAAATTATTTGTCAATGAAAGTTAATGTTCTATACCTTAACAATATTTTATGTTAGACTGAATAGCGTGTGACTTGAATTGCTTCGTAAGTGTTAACTGTTTACCAGAAAAGCTTATTGAACTGTATTTTCTACTCCTGAAGCTCATATCGCTTAGATTTTTTACTTGTTGGATAGGTGTGTTGTTGTAATATAAAAAGACCAAATCGAGATACTAGTTTTATGCTTAAGAAACTGTTCAAAGTTGCCTAGTCGTGTACAGAAAGTGCTACAATTGTATATAAACTAAACAAACTCATTTATAGGTAGTTGTGATTTTGGAAAAATAGAAAAAGCCTTACATTTGATCAGAGCAGTTTTAACCTTTGTTTTGCAAAAAAATAAAAAATAAACTGATTAATCTGTTTCAGCAATCATGTTAAAAACAAATTTTTCATTTTTAATACTTGTATTTGGTTTTGAATGAAACAGTGTTCCTCTCTGCAGATGACTTAAATTACCTTTAGTCTTCTGTATTAATAATTAAGGTGCAGATTTTAGACTCTTCACTTGCTAAAATACCTAATTTTGTAAGAGTTTTATAGTTGTTGACTGTATTTTCTCACGTACAATGCTAGCTGTTAGTAACTAAATGTTTCCTGTCAGTTTAGCTCAAAAACCTGCTCATCTACCTAAGCTTATCCATGTTTCATGTTTAAACGTTTATTCTGAATCTTCCCTTTTCGACTATTTAATGAAACTTAAAATGTATCACCTCTTTTTTTCTTGCATGTAGTAAATTTGCATTGCTGTTAAATTATCATTGGGCACTTCCTAATCAAGGTTGCAAGCCTTTAAACAAATTCATGAATTTAAAATTACATTTTGTCTTCTTGTCAACATGTTTATCCAAATAGGGTATTAATTTTGGAGGTTAGACTGTCGCCCTACACATGAAAATTTTTATAAACACTCTTGTATTTATAATAAGAGTCTAGGATAAAAGAACTCTTTTCGTTTTCTATTTACAAGTAAATTGCATTACCAAAGCTAGATTGAAAAGCTGTTCTGTAGATTGGAATTTCGATTGAGTGCAGAAATTAAAAATTACATCTTTTCTATATAATTTATTTATATAACACTCTTATTTATAGCTTGTACCATTGGCAATTCAAAAGTGAAACAACAAATTACCAGTCTAAACATATTAACATTTGCACACCTGAATATTTCTGAGGGAAATAGCCTTGATGTGAACAAATATTAAATCAGTAGGACCATAAATGGATAATACTAGTCAATATTATCTGTGTTAATTTTTGTAATTATGGTAAATTATTGCTTTTAAAGTAAAATGTAGCATAACTCTATAAATAATGTACAGAAAATATTTTAAAAACAGATATTTCTATTTCGTATTTATTATGTAAGAAACGACTAATGTTGATTAGAAGCCGACATTTTGTTCGGAAGCTGTTAAACATTGCATTGTATAACTGGGACAGTAAAGTAATGCATTGTGTTGTTTATCGTGTTTAATTCTGTGATATCCCTTAATTTCCCTATTTTTGGTTTCATTGTTGTTTATCAGCAAATTAACACATTCGCAGCTGCCCGTCAATGCGGCGCAGCGTCGAACCAACATGATTGCCGGACAGTTGGCTTTAAAATATTGCGGTCTGACGAATAGCAATTAACATGGGTTGATGTGCTGCGTTACGACGAGAGGCGACGTAGTTCGCTAAAACACCCACAGATAGCAGCACTGCTTGGAACGTAGCCAGTCTCATTGTGATTGTATTGCAAATTGGAGGGAGAAAGACAGGACAAGTTGATTTTTAAGCTTGCCAGATGGGGATTTTACAGGGAAATTTACTGCCAACCTACACCACAATTATAGACTGGTATTAGAGACACAATACTAACGCGTACCAACCGTCCTCGGCTAGATCCTGAGCCATACTAACTGAGCAAACAATGCATTGTGCGCTGTGCCCCCGGTGTCGCAGCCGCCTCGCACCACGGCACGCCATGCGTCACCGGGGACGCAGCCGCAGCTAATGTGTTAAATAGGACCTTGGAGCTTATAGTTATCCAATGGTACTGGTCACGTAGTTGATGTAAATAGCGCAGAATGTAACATAAACTGATTAGCTTGACAGAATGACAGCCTCTCCCATCAGCTCTGGGTGGTTCCAAAATTATTCATCACTTGATATCACCACGCATCAGAACTTTTTGTAACCATCCAGTAATAAACAAAGATTTTTGTATAAAGATGTGTAAATCAATCAAACAATTGGTAAAAATGTGTAATATTTAAAATTTGACAAGTCATAAGTAATATTGGTTTTTAAAGACTGTAAGAGTTAGTTATTACCAATACTGCTGGTTACATTTACACACCAACATATACAGGATCTCCTATCATCACAGATCCAGTATGGTGTAGTCCTGTGTACAGTCCAAACACTGGTTCATTCCCTTGGCCAGCCAATTCTCTCTCATCAGGGTCTGCAATCTGTCTGTACCTGGTAACATGACAAATAATTATTATTATAATTAAAAATGAAAATGTATTGCAGTATTTTTTTTAGATCTTGTACATATAAGGGCTCTCATACCTGCATCCTGTACACATGACAGAGCTGATGCAGCGTTGGACCAATTTTGTGGTCCCGTGTGATTATAATAGGAGAGGTAACCTTTGGATTTTTTAGATAAAAGGCAAGACGAAGAAGACAAATCCGTGGGTGGACATTCTATAATAGGTGACAGATCAATGAGATTCTTCAAACTGGTTTAAAACACACCAATGGATTGATTCACGTCTGACTGGGCAAAATTGTACACTATGTTACAACCATGTTTACAACCAATACCCACCCTAGAAACATTCAAAGCGCACCGCAAATGTAGCGGTTTCAGTGATAACTTTAAGACCGAGGATTTGCCAACAATGGTTCAAAGCGGTTCTATGTGAACGACGCCATTTGTTTCCTAGTAGTTGCTTAACACCCGCACTTGTGTACATACTTGTGTACATCAATACATAGCAACATAGCAATACTATAGCAACATCCTAATAGTCAACATACTTACTTTTTTAGGGTGCGGAGTGGCTCAAAGTTAGGGTCCATCTTCCCATCTTTAGGGTCTATCGCTACAATTACACACCTGGGACAAAAGGAACAAAATATTTATGACAAAATGTGAATAAACAAACTATTCATTAGTATCTAAAGTAAAAAACACAAAAAATACAATAATAAGGATATGATAAAACATCTCAATGTAGTTTGAAATTTTAAATCCCTTTTGAAGCTACCAAAACTATTCCTCACCTCGTACAAGGCTTGAAGCCCCTCATGATCACTTTATCCCCTATTTTGATCCAATCCCATTGGTCCTCGCTGTACGGTTTGTTGCCTTTCACCACGATATTGGCTCTGAAGTGGCTTGGTGTCACAGGAGATTCGAGTCTTTTATTGAGGTCTTCCACAGAATTCTCTGACACTATCAGGTAACTAGCCATGTAGGAATATGCTCCCTGTGTGTGAAAAAAGCTTTTGTAAACCTTTTGAATATGGATACCATCAAATCCAACCAATGAAAGAGAAATATTTGGTCTCAATGAACACCCTCAAATGTTAAAAACATGAAATGGACAATGAAACAAAGTTCCAATAATTTTACAATGGGATGAGCACTATTGGCAGTCTATGGTTAAGTGCATTCAGTGTTCTCTTTGAGTAAAAATATTGCCTACTAAGGAAATAACAACCCATTATTACAGTTTCTTGTAAAAACTGTAAAAGGGTTATAAAAGAAGAGCGACAAACAAAATACAGTTTTTCTTCTTGTTCCTCTGCAGAGTAAATCGTTGTGTTGTGGCTTTTTAGTGTAGTTTTGTTTGAAATATATAGAAGTTACCAAAATAAAAGAGTCAAACATCATACCAAGTATTCATCACGAAGTCTAGGGTAGACTTTGGCAAAAGATGTCCAACCATTGGCTACAGTCCGCAAAGTCACGGAAGGTTGAGAAAAGTGGCCGAGTCTGAGACCGCTGCGAGACGGGCCGAGGATTGCTTCGGAGAGCCAACAAGCAACCTCATCACCACAGTCGACTGCTGATACCACCTCTCCCCACCAACGACTGGAAAAACACAAAAAATCTGAGAGTAACACAGAGAAAAAGTTTCACAAACCAGATGGTTTATTTTATTTTCTATCCTAAAAGAAGGGTTATTAGTTATTACTAAAAGAATTGGAATTTACACCACCTCTGTAGTGTTTTTTTTATTAGTGTTTGTGTGTTATAAACACCACTGAATATTTTTTCCCCCTTAGGGATACTGTTTTAACCTTGGTCTTGTTAGTATCTCATCCTTTTATAATATACCATCAGTAATGGATTGCCCAATGGCAAATGAAACTAGGTCTAGAACCTACCCTGCTTTAGTAAATTGTAAGTTTTTTTACTAGATTAAAGACATGAAAATGATGACAGGCTTAGGTAAAAACTTACTCTAATTTAACTAAGTCCAATTTGTTTTTTGGTAGTTTGAGGTAGAAGTCTTCTCTCTCTGGAAATGACAGTCTGATTGTTGTATCATCTTCAACCTTAGATTCCAAGAGAGTAATCTTTGTGTTTACAAGACCTGAGACTGCCTTCTTTTTTTCTTGGTCGTACACTATGAATTCTCTAGAACAATTTAGATAGTATATTGTTAAATAAATACAAAAATATTTCAATGCTAACTAACCCTACTACTATTATAAGTGCTAACTAATATTGTAAGTGAAAAAGTTTAGCTATCCCTCGAGCGGTCGCTTGTGGAGTTTTTCTCCGCACATATAGTTTTTGTTCAAATAATTATGCATAATGGGTGTTGGCAGTCGTGTCCGGCTACATACTTCACGCACCTCATCCCGGGAATGCCCCTAAGCAATTTGTACCCCCAAATTCCTCCTTATTTTGTTTTCAGTTGCAATTTAGTGACGTGGTGTCCGTTTGCAAAGGTTTTCTCCACCTGCGCCCTATCACAAGCGTAAGTCCTTAGCACAGAGTTTATTTCCTTATGCGTTCTTCTGAGTTAGAGGTGACTGTTTTAAATAAATAAATAAATAAATAAATAAAAATGCCTTTATTTGCGAGCGTCTTTCAGTACAAGAACTGTTTTACAAAGTGACTCTTGTCAATATAACTAACTTAAAAATATACAAAAATTATAATACAAAACACTGTGTATGACAAAACAAAATTATAATCTATATACAATATTTTACATCTTTTTCACTTTTCTTTTGAAAGCCAGGACCCCCAGCTGTTTTAGGTCCAAGGGGAGATCATTGTACATCTTTGGGCCAAAGTAAGAAAACCCTTTTTTTCCCACTTCTAGGCTTACTTTTGGAATGTGGAGCAAGGCGTTTTGCCGGGTCACACGTTGAGTCACCTCCCCACGTGCCACAAGCCTCTCCACCAAGTACTTAGGTTCTTGCTGAACCAAGACCCGGTGGATGAGGCTACAAGTCTGCGCCCTGCACACGGCACCCATTGACAGCAACCCCGCAGCATCCCGGAATGGGGATACGCGTTCACGCTTACGGATACCGTAAACGAAACGAATTGCGGAGTTCTGCACTTTTTGCAATCGGGACATCTCTTCCCTTGAGATGCTGTTGCCGTATGCAGGAAAACAGTAATGGAGCACTGACAACACTAGTGACTGTACCAGCTGCAGCTTGGCTGTCTCTCGTTTTAGTTGTGTCTGTTAGTGAAGTAACTATTTGGTGTTCCCGTTTTATATTATAGCCTACTGATGCCACTATGGATTTATTAGAAAAGGAGAAAGTATGAGGGTTACTTGATTGTGTCGAAAGGGAAAAAGAATAGAAGAAATACAACCAAAACGAGATTTTGATTGGGGTATTACTCATTTAGTTGAGACTTCATTTTACACTGGTCTTCTACTTTACTCTTTTCTATGGTTTGTGCAGTGGTAGAACATTATGGCTATGGTAAATGTGCTATACTATAACTTACCGTATAAATTAAAAGAACAAAATATTCTCCCATAACTGCAACAAGCATTTTATACGTATATGTCAACCCCGTACGAAGGACAGGTACTCTGCTAGTTGTCTATAACTATGATTATTTATGTACTACCATAGACAAAAAATAGAATAAACAAGTGCACCTGTTGCTCGAATTCGAGCAATTGCAAACTATTGCACGCGTTATTTCAAAACGAATAACAGTCAACTGAAAGATAATATAATCAATTCAGTTATCGAAACTGAAAACGAACTCACTCTGAAAACTAATGCTCTTGTATGTATCATGTGTTTACTATGAACAGCTGTAATTAATACAAATTATTCCTCTGTTTAAGTAAACAAAATATTTTTGTCATTCCCTAAGTTTGACTTGGTAAAAAGGTTTGTGTACTCGAAAGAATTTAGTAATTTAGATCGGCACAATCTGTAGGTGGCTCACATCAACTATGACATTTTGATAAAAAAACCTGGCTACAAATTTTACATGGGGATAGAATGTCTTAGGTACTATACCTATTTAATAACAAGTAAATAAATGAACTAAGCAGGCTTTTATAAGTAAACATTCTAATCTTGAATAGAGAGCTTTTATCACTGAGATAAAGTGCCAGATTCAGGATACTGACGGCATTAAGCCAAATTAACCTGAGCCAACTCCTCCTAGGTGGAACTTCTGGTGTCGTGGGTTATCGAGTGTAGGACGATACCGATGTGATACGAGAGCGCAGCTCAAGAACTCATTATCAAGAAATGTGGAAAGCACTGTAGTGAGGTGGATAGGGAACATGCGAAAGTAGGAGAGCGCAAGCTTCTCTGTGTGGGATGGTGAGAGAGGTCAAGGCCCAAAGAGGGTGTCCACAGGGTGGCGTCTTGTCACCAAATCTAGGGAACCTCGAGGATCTCCTGTCCGAGCTCAATGCACAGGGAATGTACGCTCAAGGATATGCTGACGACATTGTTGTCCTAATAAGAGGAAGATTTATGAACACTTGCCTCTTGAGTCAAAATCATTTGATTTAAAGAGAGTTAAGAGAAATTTTAGAAACCCTTTAATTTTGTTACCGTGTTAGCAAACGTCCTATGTAGGGTGGAAGTTATTATTATAGTTGCCAAAGGTAGTCTGGGACCAATGTATGAGATTTATTACCCAAAAAAATTCAATTTAACTGTTTATTTTAGGTTTTATATGTCTGTAGGTAAACTATACTCATAAGATCACCTTGCAATTATCTTTCTTTGAGAGAAGAAATTGTGGTTATCATCATTGATCATTGAGATGGGGATGCGACCTAATTGCAAATTTTAACCCAAATATGAGTGAGGTGAGGGATGGATGTATAATGGTGCGAGATGATCTGTCTAGCTCTGTTACCGATTAAGATCACGTTTTGCATTAGTCAGGATCATCTGTCATCTGAAACCCAATTATCAGGAACAGCTGGGTCTTGTTCCACTCCTTCCTCTACATTGGAGGCTTTTAACTTCCTACAGTTTTACTTTTTAAGCTATTGGTCTATTGCATTCTTTCTTCTCTACAATAAGAATTTACAATGATATTTACCTATCTCGAAGCTGTATAAGGGGGTTTGCACTATCAACAAGTCCCAGCGCAGCACACCTAGCCTTCACAAGATGATGTGCTTTAGCAGATTTCACGGGGTAAATCATTAATTCGCTCACTTCACCGACTCGCCTCCAGTTTGAAGGAAGTTTCTCAGTGTTCCTTTCATTTGATAAATCCTTATTTGCGCAATTTTTCTTTTTCCATATCAGATTAACGATTATAACTCCAACAGCCGAAGCTCCCAAGACTATGACTGAATGGTAAATATTGAAACGTAACATGGAAACTGAAAAATAATGGCACAAAATTGTTCAGTAGAGGTATACGGATTTTTGACTATGTATAGGTCTACTCATATTGAGTGATTGATTTATAAAGTATCAGGAACCGGAATTATTATCATCAACAGTTAAGATGATGACATTTTAATCCAAATATAAGTGATAGATTGTGTAACTGTGTGGTGGTCGGCTTTAGATGAAGAAATAATCAGCCGAAGAAATAATCGTTCAAGCAATTTCTGAACTACGGTACTTGTAATAAACTCCACAAGTAGTACTTGAACTACAAGTATACTAGGGCAAAACTTGTAACTTTACCCTCTCATTACTTGGCAAAGTTGAAAAATATAAAGTCAGAGGGAACTAAATACACAAACCAAAAATTGAATTTCATTGTTTATACAGGGTGATTGATATAAGTGTGCCAGCCGTTTTATTCGAAAACTATAAGAGATATCAAAAAAAGTTAAATAGTAAGTGCCTTGGATTTTTTATTAAAAAGATTATAGTCAAGTCAAAAAAATTATTTTACCCGCCATTTTTCCAATATGGCCACCAACTTTGATTTTTCTTATAGAACACCCTGTATTTTATGATGTATTCTGGTAGAAAAAGTAATTTTAAGATGATTTTATTCTTGTGATTTTTTTCATAAACCTAACCGTTTCAAAGATAATAATGGTTTAAGTTGTGAAATTTTGAATGGTTTTCGAGCAAAACAGCTGGCATGCTTGCTTAGGCCTTTATCGAAACTCTTTCCCATGCAGAAATTTCAAAACTTTAACCATTATTATCTTTAAAACGGTTAGGTTTATGAAAAAAATCACAAGAATAAAATCGTCTTGAAATTACTTTTTCTACCAGAATACATCATAAAGTACAGGGTGTTCCGTAAGAAAAATCCAAGTTGGCGGCCATATTAGAAAAATGGCAGCTAAAATAATTTTTTTGACTTGACTACAATTTTTTTAATAAAAAATCCAAGGCACTTACCATTTAACTTTTTTTGATATCTCTTATAGTTTTCGAATAAAACGGCTGGCACACTTATATCAATCACCCTGTATATGTTTTATCCAAAACTAACCAAAATCAGTTAAACTATTTACATACAGATAAAGCAATCTCTTTAAATAGTTAAACTATTCTTTTTAATCCTGTTATAATTTATGACAATTTTGAAATTCTTGAGTTTTTTGTAAAAACAATAAAATGTACATATTATTACAATTTATTTTCATTTGTACATGCTGATAAAACACTCAAACTTTTTCTACACTTTATGAAATTTGTCTGAATGTTCTCTTAAAGAGAATATTGTTTAACTACTTATTCTACAGCTATGCCATGTTACTTTATATACAATAAATACCTCTTTAAACCTTCCACTGCTAAGTAATGAACTCAAAATACCATTCATAAAGAATAATCCTATAATAAACTCACATTACTGAAAGCAATAACACAACAATTATGACAAGACCTATCTATCAGAAGACAACAGACTGATCTAGTTTATCTCAAGGCCAATAGTGATTTTCTGTTTGACATTCAAGTGCTAACCTGGTTTTGAACAGTATTTTTAATAATTAGGTTTCCTTGCATATATCTTAAGGTAACTATACATCTATAATGCATTGGCGAACCATTAAATCATCTTCAAATTGTAAGGTTAAACATTTTTTAGTGACTGCTATATTGACCTGTACTTTAAAAGAAGTTTTTACATTATAAAACATCTGTAATATAAAAAAAAAAAAAAAACTGTAACGGTGTCAGAAATCTGACACATACTTTCTCCCATTAGCTTGACAACAACATTTATCATGGGTAAGAGCAAGGCCACACTAAAAAACCCCTTTAGTTTTTTTAGTGTGGCCTTGGTAAGAGGTGGGAGTGAATATTAATATTTTAAAGAGAAAAAATCACAAAGTTGCAATAACTTTTGAACTGTAATTATAGCAATGGGGGGTTTTAAATGCACAGCTGAGAAAATCATTAAATTACACAAGAGACCCATGCGCAAATTGTACATAAATAGATCAAAACTAATGATACAACACCCTTTTACCTTTCAAAACATATGTTAGTTGAAATTTATTAGGTGAATAAAACTTTAATAACTGTACCTAAATAAATTAAATTTCTTGATTGTAGATACATATACCATAATGAGTGAATTTCCCTACCTCAATCAAATTACAATTATTATCACACTAGTAGCCTTGGCTATTTAAAATCCATTTTCAAGAACCACTTTGTCTCTTGTTTAGGCCTACTATTATCTGACATTTTTAAAATATCGAACTGAAGGGCCAACTGTTCCCATAAATTCCCATTTAAAATAGTAAAACAATAGAGAAAACCCTTCTTGGAATAAAAATATATATGGATTGATACTAAACTGGAGAATGTTTTAATACAAATCTAACAGTTCTTACTCATAGCATGAATTTTTCAACTCTATGAAATAGCCTAAGTGAGTAAATTATTAAAATAAATTAATAAATACAAATTTGTAAAAGAAATCATTACTGTAGTTAAAATAAAATAAAAAAAACCAATAAGAAAGTTAATGGTTTCCAGCTAAAAATTGCCTTGTATGTTGGACAAATGACAGTTATATGTAACATTTCATCCCAAGGAGTTTCCCAACACAAAGTCTACTTGATAACACAGATTATTATGTTTGTCAACAAACGCGTTCAAACCTGACAATCCAATAGAAATCACATTATCCTTCGGTTTCACCTGGTCCATACACAGCTTCAACTTGTACGTGTTATGCATTGTGGAGTTTTTCATTTGAACCACTACATAAACGTCTCGATCAACTTTCCCGTTCCGCACCAAATGATACCTCAAGCTTAAGCACTGTTTTCTCAAATCTATAGAACACTCTCCCCAGAAAAACTGTCCGTGGACGTAGAAAGGAACAAAGTCGCAAATCTCTTCCTCTGGATCAAAATTCTCCAATCGGCAGTAGTTTTTTTCCTTGAATATGTGGAGTTTGGAATGCTCTTCTTTCACGTGGTCGAGAACGCTCTCTCCACTGCCGATCCAGTCACATTTTTTGCAGCTAGAACGAATGTGACCGCACCAAGCCTCGTGGTCGTCCCCTGCTCGGACAAAGTAAGAGCATCCTTTGTGTTGGCACTCATGTGGCAGTGTGTCTAACAGTTGTGCCAACAGTATGGGCTTGTCTGGGGAAAACGGTTGTTTGCAGATGGGACAGTTGGCCAACCTGAGTCTGCAGGGTTGACACACTCCGTGACCGCGCACACACACCACCACCGAGGGACGCAGAGGCTCTAAACACACACAACACTGAGCGGCCTCCATCTGTCTGGCTACGATCAATCTCAACTCCTCCTCACTCAGTGAATCCTGCAAACAACAGATTGTATTTAAATTGGTAACATTAATGAAACTATGCAATTTTGTCCGCATTTTTTTAAATAAAAAAACTTCTCTCTGAACCTGTGTAGGACGGATTCGTGATCCAAAGAATGTAGCATTAGATAAGCCAGTGGCACCTGCAGTGATATAACAGAACAGACTAACCAAAAATTTTTGGTTTGTCACCCTCTCATCATCCCATGACACTACTTCTGAGCAGAAAACCCTATATAGGATTTTTGGTTTAACTATTAACTTCTTGACAAGCTTAATCAAGATGCAGTGTTAAGATTTTACCTTAACAGTTCATATTGTTCGATTAAAATATAAACTGTTAAATATTACGTTAAATTAGTAAATACAGACTATTATTTTGCTACTTCATTGTTACATCTTATTCATGAACAAAATGAAATAGTTTGAGGTGTGCTCTTAAGAAAAAAAATTGTAGTAGGCTGTTACCAAAAGTTGTGAAATTAGATTAAGAGAACGATAGAATTCATTTAAGATTATTCAAATCAGTCACTTACTTACTATACTAGACCTAGATTACAAACTCACCATGAAGTTGTAGTGCGTGTTAGATGTAAGCTTGATTCACTAGCTCACATTCTGCTGAAACTAACACTTGTGAACACAACTAACTGCACAGTAAGCAACTTGGCCATATATCTGAATCTGACTCATTTAGATAGCCACAAAACTATGCTAATGTAACTGCTTGTAAATGTTATGATAACCATTGTTACTAAGTTTGTTTCAACTCATAAGGAAATCAGATAAATTTGGACAAGGTTTTTTGTCAGTCACTTCAATAAATGTAGAAAAACTTTTAAAATATGTTTATCAACTTGTTTTGGTTTTGTGTTATTGTGTTGATATGGGTTATTATAATCCCTGTTAAATTTTAACTCATATTAAAATATTTCAAACTCAAAATATGCATATAAAAAGTTATCTGCAGCTTGTAACAATATTTTCAAATCTTAAAACAAATTATATTTTTCTTTTTATGTATGTTCTTTTTATGTAATATTTACTCATAAGAATGTAGTAAAAAAATATTTACTAATACCTAATACATAATAAACGACCTAATTGTTGTACAAAACGCTGAAATAAAAACCACATCTACTCAAGTCCATTATCAAATTAAATTGACTTAAACCAGTTCGGATATGAAACAACTGGAATGATCATTGACTTTGTCGTTTCATTTTTAGATGTAATAATCTAGTGGATATTAACAAAACAATGCTTATGCGGTCTTTTAGTATTCTATGTCAGCAAACAAATAACAAAAATATTGTATATTAACTATGGGAGGATTACTTTAACAAAGAATTTTTTTGCCATTAACTTTACGAATAAGACAGGTCACAATTGAATTACTCATCTACAAAAATTGATCCTTCAACATCGCTGTTTCTATGGATATTTTATCACCAAATACCAGAGATCTACACATACACATAATTAAATTATGTAAGTAATAACTTATTTGCAATTAACTCACAACTCTCATTAGGGATTGTATTATTGTCATGTGATCGTATCAACAAACTATACTGATGTATAAAATACCCCGGCCACAGCAAACCTGCAAACTAAGCGAATTTCCATTTGCCTGATTGGATTTACACTATTACACTAAAATGTCTCCTTAAAAATATCACATTGATTCCCCTATTTAAATAGAATTAGTTTAACGAGTACTTAGGTTTGCTGCAACAGGAATGGTAAAAAAGTGTTTTTTTTTTGTTTTTTTTTTTGTAAAATGTTAATAGTTTTTAGTAAGAAATTAATCTATTTTCTAAATTTGATCAAAATATGTTCATAAACAAGCAAACTACAACAGTTTACTTATTCTCCATTAGAATAACATGGGAATTTTAAATTTACTAATTTTTGGAATTTTCTCTTCAACCATTAGGCGCATAAAACACTTCAATATACTAAATTATTAGTTTTTAAGCTCTACAAAATGGTTTGGAAAGAAATTGTGAAATTTTGTGTTTTTAGGAGGAAAAAATAGGAAAAACCTACTTTTACGCCATAAAAACCCCCCAGAAACCCCCTTTCCCATAGTCCAATCATGCTGGTTTCCAAACTCGTTCAAATAAACGTAGGTTTACACGTTTATACCAAATTTCATCAAAATCTGATCATTTTTGCTCAGGTTATCCTGCTAACGGACATATATATGCATTTGAATGGATGGTGTTTTTGGCCTCTAGGGAACTCAAAACAAAAATTAAATCAGTCTCATGTCCAGGTCTTACCATGAGTACTACGGTAGTATTACAAGTACAGTACTACGGTGGGAAATTTGCTAAAACACGACAATAAGCAAATATCTAGTTGCTTTAATGAGTTTTTGTTTGCAAATATATTCAAACAGGTTTATAATGAAAGGGACTTTACAATTAGATCCTTGCTCATTATTAATAAAACTAGCGAGATTCTTCTACAAGAAACACTTTAAAGATACTTTAATACTTTTCGATGAAATGGCGACCATACAAAGTAGGTATTTTAAGCCAAGTATGAATGGAGATGAGTGTAGGACGAGTGGCACGATCTTGTAGTCTTGTTAGTGACTAATGTCGTCATATTCCTTAGACACATTTGTTAATTAATAGCCCATACAGCTAATGGCAACTAAGGGACCTACAGTTTATAGTGGAATCCGAACCACATTTTCGCCTTGGTATATACAAATTGGTCTAATTATCAGGATAGTACTGCGGATATTCGTAGTGATTGATAGGTGTAGCTTTAATATCCTACAAAAAAAAAATCAAAACAAATTTGCATAACTATGTTCAGAAATTAAGATATTAATTAATTAACTTAAAAAAACTATAAACACATTCATAAGTAACGCTCATAAGTAAGAAGTACTTTATGATTTAAAACTTAATTTATTATTACAAATTGTTAAAATTGAAAAATTAGTAGACTTTAAAGAATACCTTAATTGTTGTTCAATTCAGCTTGTCAATTCAATGTGAAGAAACCAACCTAACAAGTTGAATTGAGTATCATCAAGCATTAAGTAGGTTTTTGAAAAAAACCAAGGATTCTGAAATGTTTGTAAACTTTGTTATTTGATCAAAAATTGTTGATCCACTTGAACATTGATTTTCTCTAGTGTTGTCAGATTAGGTTAGTTTAGTCAACACAAATATGACTAACCAAGGTTACCAACATGGTTTGAATCAGAACAGATAGGCCTATAGTTAGATTCATTATAGGATCAACTATTAACTTATCTGGTACGAAGGTAAGAAGAACAATACGATAGCTAGTTAGATGTTTTAAAGTTATCTAATAATAGTGTTCACATTTTATGGTTATTCTTTTATTACTGGTATTTAGTGTATTTATAATGTTGAGGCAATATGATATTTTTGTGGACGCATCCTTTTAATTCATACATACCGGTAATTGACTTAACAATTTTTTTAAATCAAGCATTCTGTTCCTTGGTTTTGAAAAGATTATTTCAAAGACTATGGAGCAAGAGTTGGTTTTCAAATTGGTTTGACTTGTTGGAGTACATAATATGCATTATATTAGCTCTGCTAAAAGCGATAATTTCTATAGACCCTAAAATGACTGCCGTTGTAATAAACATAGCCTGGCACAATTTTACATTGATTTTTCCACCAAATGTTATGCATATTCACTACTCCTTGTGATCCGTAGTTACTATCTACAAAGTGTCATGCTCAATGTAATTTTATTGTGTCTCACTCGAGTGTGATAATTGAAATTTGCTGTAAGTATTTTTTTTATTTTGTGCTCTTTATTTTATACAACTTATCGCTTAAATGAAATTCTAAAATGGGAATCACTAGAAATTGATTAAACTTGTTTTAATTTTTGAACTAACTATGAATAGTTTATGTCTGATGGAGTCACACCTTACAAAGAATTCCATTTACAACATTTTGGAGATTTAAAACTGATTGTAACTGATTGCATAGTCTGGTTCCTCCTTTCTGCTGATTTGAAGGCCTTCAAAGAAATACTATTTATATGCAATTAACAGTATTCTTCTTTGAGCGGATATAGATAATTAGTTAGCTCATAGTAACCTAGGCTAAATATAATAAAATGTTTATACAGTATAAAACCATTATTCGTGCAAGATTTTGTTGATGCCTGTGCATCGTGAAGAGGAAAAATACATTGAGGATTAATGTCTCACAAAAGTGGGTTTCTTTCTTTTATATTTATTTAAAACTTGTTTTGTACCTCCCATAGAAATTAATACCGGTAACCAAAATGTTAGCAACATTGAGAAACAATGTTCTAGCAATGCAAAGCGTGATTGAAAAGTACGAAAGACCAGAGTGGATTTGCATATTGCTAGACACTGCCCCGTGCCTCGCCCAGGAAGTAAATAACGACAATCAAAGCCAGCTGCAGTAACATATGTATCGGTAGTTAGTATTGTTGGGCGTATAAGGAGCTCTATTAGGATGGGTAAGCGTAGTGGAACATGAGTAGTCCCACCCTAGCTACTAGCGTGTGTCACTACATAGCCACTGGAGCCATGGGGGTGGCCACTTGTCTCAGGTAGTACAATGATAACAGCGCAATCTAGCGATGCTATTGCATTAACACCTATTACTCGCTGGGGCATTTATAGCACGAAGCTTGATAGTGTTGGTGGGGTTGACCGTTATTTGAACAAATTAGTTTTTAAATTAACATGAAATAGTCGTAGGCAATTAATCTTTTTAGTTATAAAATACATTGCAATGATTACATTTTTTATTGGAGTTATATTTGTTTGAGACCTTTCTAAACAGTTTGTAAAGTAAATGTTATGAATAGTTTGTTCAATTATTGTAACATCTACCCACTAGCTAGGAGATATTTTTTTTTGTGATAGAGTTAAGTTTACTTACCTGAGAAAATTACACTCCATGAGCTTATAGATATACAAATACAAAAAGGTCATACAATATCTCTAGTATTTTGCGTTACTATATCCCTCTGAGCTTACATTTTGTCGGGTAAGCTACTTAAACGCAATACTAATAAATTGTTATCAGCCATAAATAAACCATAGTTGTTGGCTTTCTAAAAGGACTTAGGTTCAAGTGAACTTTGGTGTCAACATTTTTTTTTAGAAAAAAGTTAAAGAAAAATGTATAAATTGTATGTTTTTGATTGTGTTCTTAAGATCTATTTTTTGACTTTTATTCGAAAAAGACTAACAAGCTAATAAAATTGATAAAATTTGGTACATCTACATCAAGTTTAAACAATTATTATACAACAATGTAGTAAAAAGATTTTAAAAGGAGTTATCGGTGCTAAAATGTTAATTTAAATGACTTTACAAAGATTTTATTTTTCAGATGGGAAGTAAGAATGGCTCAAAACACAACAACACACAGACACGACTTCCGATGGCCCACGACCGATTGTCTAGTACCTAGGTAAATATTGGTAACTTAACTAGCTGTTGTACCCGTGCTTTTGCAACGGGAAGAGGACATGAAATAGAAACATTTTGATCTTTATTGCATTTTAACGTCTGTTGTATAAAATAGTTACACATCCGCCAAAGCTTTTAGAAACAAAACTCAACCGTTATGCCCTTTATAGAAACGTTTGTGGCTTTTAAATCTGTTAAGTAGAGGAAACTGCCATTTTGGTTTTGATTAATTTTAAATCTTTTGTAGGCTTATATGAGGTAAATTATCAAATTTGACTTAAAATGGAATTTTCTCTCTTAACAAAAAAGTTCTAAATTTAAAACAATAAATGGGGTTTTCCTAGTCAGTATATAACAGTGATTATCCTAAAAATCCACCACATAATTGATCGAGTAAACTATATAATTTCTTTTAAAAATCCTGTAAGTTTCATTCACAAACTATTTTTTAAATTCCTTTCAAGTAGGCTACTGTGCCTATGGTGTCACTGAAACTGCTTCATCTACATGTTTAATCATATCAATCAATTCAATATTCAATACTATCATATAAAAATATTTACGGCGTCTGCCTGTATGTGTATTACTAATAAGCGCAAAAAAACTACTAAACCGACTGGGCCAAAATTTTACAATAATATAGCTACCATACCAAGAATGGTAATAGGAATATTCACACTTTGCTACTGACCGTGGGCTTTGCCCCTTTGGCTATAAAAGTTCTCAGGTGAGGATTTTAAAAGTAAATATTGATTGTTCTCGTCTCGATGGCTGCAATGAGAAAGCTCACAATGTTTACATTTGCTTTGAAATTTCAATGTAAACAAGAAGAACTGCCAAACTGCATATTTCACAATTTCAGACAGCTGGTCCAAAGAAATCTATGATGTAGGTTTATTTAAGATATTATTGAGAACTAACATACCTGTAAATTGACACATTTCCTACAGAGCAGAGGCTCCAAATCTAAAATGTGTGCCTCCCCCCTCTGACGGCTCTGGCAGGGTGAGACCATGGTGTGGAATGGACAAGCCTGTAGCCTCGGTGGCAGCTGTAGAAGCTCCGTCAGGTGACTCCGCCAAGCCATGGACCCAGCGGGGCCTACTGGTGGAGATGATCAGCCCTAGGCCTGCCACAACCCCGCCTAGAGTCAGGACAATGCCTGCTGGCTGTGAGGTACTAAAAATGATAGCTTTGATCAATATTATTGCAGACATTTTCCCATTGTGTTTAGTGAAAAAGTACTTTGATGTTTCAAGATCTGTAATTTTACCCTGCACTCAGATTGGAAAGTACCTAAAAAAAGACAGAATTTCTCTGAGTGGGTTTTTCTTATATAATTTCTTAGCTTAATCTTGGTTTCTGTACTAATCTTGTTACAGTATGCAATCCCTCTAAAATCAAAAAATACCATCACCAAAAGCAAACTTCAAAGAAAAAACTACAGTAGAGACTCCCTCTTATCCGGACTCCTTGGGACCGAGGCCAGTCCGGATAACGGGTTTTCCGGTTAAACCGACGTCCCCAAAAACTAGTTAAAACAGACTGTTCACTGTGATATTCGACTTAAATTTAGGAGAGCATTGTATTAAGCCATGTGATCACTGGTCTCAAATCTTTCCCACGAGAACAGTAGTTTCATTACTGCCCACTTCCTGCCGATCTAGTCCGGTTAAACCAATGTGCTGATAAAAATTGTCCGTTAAAAGAGATGTCATTTCCGCCGAGTGTAGTCCGGTTAAACCTATGTCCGGTTAAAAGGTGTCCGGATAAGAGGGAGTCTACTGTAATGCAATATTCAATTATCAATTATCAATTATCAATTATCAATTATTTAAGATGGGGACGCCACTATGTGCGTATTTTAACCCAAATATGAGTGAAGGATGAGTGTAGGATGAGTGGCGCGATCTTGTAGTCTTGTTAGTGACTAAGGCCGACATGTTCCTTAGACACAGCTGTTAATTAATAGCCCATACAGCTGGCAACTAAGGGACCTACAGTTTATAGTGGAATCCGAACCACATTTTTCCTTGTAATTTACGAATTGGTCTAATTATCAGGATAGTACTGCGGATAGTCGTAGTACTCACTAGTGCGGACGTTAATCCACACCAGTGAGCATCGCATCCACAGTGCATCCCTATAAATATCCACAATTCGTGACCTCCTAGTAGCTGGATTACAGGACGACGCCACCCGTCCCAGTTATATTGTTTTGAAATAACAGTTAAACATTTTTTGATGGTAGATACTCAAAAGCACTGCTCATACAACAGTTAAGGATATTAAGGTGTCACGTTTGAAGAAATATAATTTTGACAGGAGCCAACTCTATGAGTGGTCATTCAAATCCCAAAGACCTTGTCAAATGTGAGGCTAAAAGGGGCGTTCCACACCTTGAGGGGGTCTGGGGCCACCCCCCCCCCCAAAATATTTGCTATTTTTAAAGCGGTTTTACAGCCATTTTAACGTCTAGAACAAGAACTGTGTCTAAAATCCTACGCAATTATGACAAAATGTATGTTTAAATCTTTATTTCCAGGATACAATGAAGTGTGGGGGGGGGGGGGGCTTTAGCCCTTGTAGCCCTCCTCCCCTTGGAACCGCCACTGATTCAAATTATGTTCTTTAATACTTTAATACTTTTCTTTGAAATGGCGACCATACAAAGTAGGTATTTTAAGCCAAGTATGAATGGAGATGAGTCTAGGATGAGTGGCGCGATCTTGACTGGTTCCTTAGAAACAGCTGTTAATTAATAGCCCATACAGCTAATGGCAACTAAGGGACCTACAGTTTATAGTGGAATCCGAACCACATTTATGCCTCGGTATATCCGAAATGGTCTAATTATCAGGATTGTACTGTGGTACTAGTCGTAGTACTCACTCGTGCGGACGTTATCTATTTCGAAACATTTGCTGCATTTGTCTATGTAGATGAGATAGTTCAGTATCCAAAAAAACAACCTTAATAGAAGTAGAAGAACAAATGAAGTATTCCGTCTAAAAATTTTGAAATTTCTCCTAAACAATACATTTTTAGATTTAGTTGTATTGAAATGGAGCAAACTTGTAATAGTAAGTCTTGTTAAGGCTGCAGCTCCCGCTACTAATTGGTGTGAGGGAGATGCTCCATCCAGACCTCTGACCGTCAGAGTGGGAGCAGCCCGGTACAAGACACATCTAGATATGACCAACCCAGCCAGTACCTGCGCAAGGTGAGGCAGGAAATTCTGTTATTAAATTATAAAGCAATTTCTTTAAACAAACACACACCATCGACCAAGGCAGCAGCATTCTTGAAAATTAACCTCGGCGCCCCTACGCTATGACGTAAAGTCTCATCATTGTAGTAGTAACAAAATTTTAGAATATTTTAGATTGGATAGATTGACTACATAGTAGAACTGTAACGAATGTTACTTTATTAGATAAACACCATAGCCCAGGCAAATTAGACATATGCTCCCCAAAAAATCGTCTAAAGCTGGAAAGTGTTTTAATACCTTTTGGGGGTCCCAAATAAGAGTCCTATGAGTTTGCGACGGATTCTGACGTCTGCTTAAGTTTTGGGAGTCGAAAAACTATGAAAATTTTGCACTTTTCTCAGTTTTTCGCTTATAACTTATAAAAAACGAATTCTACGGAAAATGTTGTCCAAAGGTCTCTTTTAGTGCATTAAATTCTGCATTTACTGATGTTAAATACGTCAAAATCGGCCGAGCCGTTTAGCCGCTGTAGCTTTTTAAAGTTGGATCATTTCATCAAAATGGCCAAAAAGTTGATTATTTGACCAGTTTTCGGCTTACAACTCCTAATCGACACTTGCAATACAAAAATGGCCCTGTAGTTAGTTTGGAAAACACAAAATTCTGCGTAATAGGTTTTTTTACCAATCAATAATGGTAATTGATTGCTACCTACTTTGTATGGTCACCATTTCATTGAAAAAACATATTAAAGTTAAAGTTGGAAATTTTTTTTCAATGAAATAGCGACCATACAAAGTAGGTAGCAATCAATTACCATTATTGATTGGTAAAAAAACCTATTACGCAGAATTTTGTGTTTTCCAAACTAACTACAGGTGCATTTTTGTATTGCAAGTGTCGATTAGGAGTTGTAAGCCGAAAACTGGTCAAATATTCAACTTTTTGGCCATGTTGATGAAAATGACCTAACTTTAAAAAGCTACAGCGGCTAAACGGCTCGGCCGATTTTGACATATTTAACATCAATCGACGCAGAATTTAATGCACTAAAGGAGACCTTCGGACAACATTTTCCGTAGGATTCGTTATTTAGGAGTTATAAGCGAAAAACTGAAAAAGTGCAACATTTTTATGGTTTTTCGACTCCCAAAACTTAAGCAGACGTCAGAATCCATCGCAAACTCACAGAACTCTTATTTGGGACCCCCAAAAGGTATTAAACCACTTTCCAGCTTTAGAAGATTTTTTGGGGAGCACTCCCTATATTTGATCTAATTTGCCTGGACTACCACTACTATTACAAACATTATTACAAGTACAATTTGTATTGGATTACAAGTAAAAACATTATAACACATACAAGACTTTTATAACATCACACTACGAATTTAACAAGAAGCAAAAGCAAGTGTGGATCAATTAGCTTTACCAAAATAACTCTTTTGGTCCTAAAATAAATAAATGTGTAAATAAAGGGGAACTGTATGGACAAAAGCTTAAAGCTATTATTTTGTAAAGGCTGAAGTGGCTAAAAGACTAAAAGTTTTCAATATTTGACCTCTACTCCCTCTATCAGTTAAATAAAACATTTAACCTTCCTCCCAATTATTTTTAGGGGTCAGAGTACATCATTAGTTGTATATTGATACCAGTTCTTACCATTGATGAAAGTATGGTAGAATACCGTTGCCTTAAAATAACCTTCAGATGATCTATAATGATGACAATCCTATGAAGAATTGATTTAATCAATGACCAACTGGACCTAGCAAACCTAGTTTATGGTCCTGATCTCATTTGTTCATCACACATCCTTCACTTATCTTTCCCTAAAATACACGCCTTATGTGTGTCAGCATAAAAATCCAAACATCTAAGCTATTGAAGTACATTTTGGCTAAAACATTTTGTGTTATAAGAATAAGTTCAATACATAACTGCTAAATCTTCTGACCATTTCAGCTATGTGATAGATTCCCTGAGCCAGTATCTATAGTGACTGCCAAACCTAGAGATGAGCTAATGAGGCGAGTCTACGCTGACAGATATCGCACAACCTACCAGGCTGATTACTGCCGCAACTGTGAGTACTTTGGATGCTGAAGTAGACATCCCAGATCAATCAGCTGGAGCCAGTTTTTGTTTCAATGAGAACATAATTAAATAACACTTTCGTAGAGAATACTATGTGTGGCATTGGCATTTCTTAGAATCAGTCCCAAACCAGTCTTGTACTAACAAGATAAACCATCAAACATTATCCTTTTCTTGTCATGTTATGATTAAATTTTAAATTCATTTGAAAGCAACTAGCTTACATTGACCTTATATTTTTGATAGCATCATTACAGTTTTATGTGATAGTCGGATGATAAGTGGGATATATGCCCACAATTCCCCCCATTTGGGATCAAGCCAGAAATCTTCATTACTATTGACTACAACATAACCAATTAACTAGCCAGACTGTTAAGTTAGAAGATGTTTTAGACTAAAATAAGTTGCCCTTTTCCATTTCCCTAAGCCCAACTGAATTAAGTTCTTTTATATCTTAAACTGGTTAAAACCTTTACATTGGAATTGGAAATAAATATATCTACCTTATGGTAGTAAAAATTTAACAAAAGATACAGCCGATAACATTTCCACTTTTAATAAAACTTCCATTGAATGCTGGGATTTTTTAATGATCATCCAGCATTAGCCTTATATTTTTACATTGATAACAACACTATTAAAATGTATAAGGATTGTACGTCTTTGTTAAAAACATCCCAATTTGGAATTTAAAAACCATTTCTGTGAACTTAATCATTTTTTTATAGTGGATGACATAGCTCGGTCGATCGGCGATTGTGATTCACACAATCCTGACAGTAGATACCAAGCTGATGCGAGGGTTGGTCACATGGCAACTAGCAGCTACACTCACACACACGACCCAACACAGTACGAGGCCTGTAAATGTTGTGGTTGTAAGTGTAAGGCAGCCAAGGTTCACTCTCAGACAGCAAGTGAATCCAGGTGAGAACTGACATGATTGCTACATATATATATATATATATATATGATAGGTAAAGTAGTGTAGTACGGCGGAAACTGCGTTCCTACTCTGTTTTAAGAATTCTACTATAGCAAACCCATGTTTTTCCTAATCATAATGCAACGATGGCTAAATGGGTTTACATCTACGATGGCAGCATAATCGGGAATATATTTCACGATCACACTCCACTATCGTGGAGACATCATGATTGTGTTCCGCAATCGCAATAAGTTCATGAACATTTTTCGCAATTGAGATGAAATTGTGACCTTTTGGCGATATTGGGAATGTAGGAATCAAACGACGATGAGCGTTCTCATACTCGTAAATTTACAAATACACCAAAGGATAGGCCTAAAGTTTCATCAACTGAATATCTAAACTATGTGATTTCAGAGATTTTAGGATATATTTGTGTAAATCTTTGTGGAAAATATACATCTAACATTTTTTATTTTTTTAAAGAATCCAACCTATGACTTGCCGGCCAGCTGCAGTGTCCCAGAATTTTCACTATTCTTGTTGCAACGTGAAGAGAAAGGACGGCCAACATTCAATGGGACAAGTTGGTAAGGAGGGCCATTAACTAAACTTTACCTCCTAATTTTGTTTTAGTATATTGTTGTATTCTGTGTACATTTTACGTTATAGTTTTTTTTTTTAAGAAAACAAGGAAAGCAAAGAGACTGAATGAAGAAAAATACTGTGAAGCAGGAATATATGACCAGAAACGTCATGGATCATAAACAAAAACAAGTTACGGCCCGAATGTCTATCCCAATAGCCATGACAGATGGTTTGGACGTTTTGTCAGTTCCATTTGAATATTAGCAAAAACATGTTTACTTTTGTTCCAGTGACATCATATGTTTATGATCCATACAGTTTCTGTTCTATTGTCAGTGTTGTGAAGTATCATTATTTTTAATAATTATAGCTGCAGACATAAATTATACAAGTTTATGAATTTGTTTATTTTGTGTGTGTTTTAAAATTCAATTTAGCAAAAAATGCAAAAGTTTATGATTAGTAAACATGATCAGAAAACCAGCCATCAATAGGATATCAGAGAGGAGGTAGGGGCAATACTAGGAAGTCAGGTCAGGGGGATCAAGCAACTGTAAGAAATATTTGAGCCTCCTGAGTAAAAAAAATATATATCCTTCAGAGACTCATTCACTGTTTGCTCTATGATTAATAACTAGCTACAACTGATCCATGCAGATGGAATGTATATTTATATTTACGTTAAAAGTCAATGATTTCACTAATCTTACTTAACACAAATGTACTTATTTTCCTCCATTTCAGGGCCACCTGAGAAAATACCTCCATGGGTAAGTGAATACAATGACTCGATAGGTAAAACAGCAAAAATGATCTTCGAGCATAAACTGTTGTACCCTAAGAAAGAAAAGAAACACAGAATGTAAATTAGTCACTGTCAAATGTCATGCAACGATTTATGAAAAATATACACTAAAAACAGATAAGATAAATGTGTTATTGAATTGTTGGTAACAATGTTTTCTATTACTAATCTGATAATTAGTAATATACCCAACTCATAATAATCTATAATCATCGTCTATTAAGTAATCTTTAGATTGTAATCTAAATATCAATTTAGATTAGAATAAATATCACGGTGCCTTTTTTTACTCACCAGTACACCAATAAACATAATAATATCAAAAATCTTAACATACACTTCACACTAGAGGCAGGCGTTTTGTAACGTAATAGGATAAATAATAGGATAATAATTTTAAGCCAAGTATGAATGGAGACAGGGTTAAGGGTCAGTGTAGCCCTGGGCAAACCCAAAAGCAGCGCCCCTCATATAGATGTAAGATGTAAGGTATAAGTAAAACCTCGATAACAACTGGGACTGGAGCCGGTCCAAGGGAATGAAAATTTGGGTTAACCAGAGAACTGAGAAAACATACAAGAAGTAAACGTACTTATCAAAAAACATCTTCTTTTACAAAAAGATTATATTTACACTTCGCACAACATTACACAAAACTAAACCAAAAAGGTTTTGACCAAAGCAGTGTAAGGAGGGGAAGAGGTAAGGGGGTTGAGGTCGACACATCAGTTCGCCGAAATCTACAGCAGGTAGGGTGGGGTGAGGAGTTACCATCTGTGGTTTACACTTTACAGGTCTTTCGCACTGGCAGTGAAAAGAGAGTGAGCCCGGTTCAGGTTCACACTGCTGCCTGCCTTGCCCCTGACTACACGAGGCATAATCTGAAGGAGTGTTTTGTTGTATTTATTTACATTTGCAACAAGGGAAAATGACTCAACTACAAGTTGAAATAATCCATTTTAGTTTTTGAAATCCCGACTGATCAAAACCAATATTTTCCTACCCTCGGTGGGCGCCCGGCATTTTTCCCCACCGGCATCCCCCAACCACCGGCGCCCCCCAACCAACGGCCGGTTTATAAAAGCGGGCCTGAAAGGAGATGAGTGTAGGATGAGTGGCGCAATCTTGTAGTCTTGTTAGAGACTAAGGCCGACATTCCTGAAGTGTAACCAATTACTAATTAACCAATTATATACGGTAATAGACAGTTGAGAATATTCAATTTTTGTATCATCATCTGGCCAGTTAGAACAGAAATAAATACGCTGATCTTGTTTTTCTATTAACAGCGATAATCACAAAATATTAATATTCCCATTATGTCCGAGGAACTACTACCGAATGTACTAATCCGAGGATCACCAGAATGATTGGGAGTAAAAACAACCCTGCGTTAGAACAACCAACTGAAACATACTGTTTGAGGAAGTAATAGGCGATAAAAGGTGTTACAGCTCGTGACAACTAAGCTGGCACTTGGCCGATCGCTACTAGAACCTATTTCAAAAACATTATGTCCCGTCATGCGGGTTGCACCAACTGTCCTCGCGACCCATATGAAGTTGTTCAAGTATAATGCAAGGGGAGTCAACCCCGTGAGGCAGCGGAAATGTTTGCAGTCCCTACCTCCACCCTCCTCCCGCCTACACTGCCCGCGCTAGGCCAAGTGCCAGCTTAGGTGTCACGAGCTGTACTTCACTTATTACCGAAAAGCAAGCTAGGGAATGTTCTTGACCATTATAGCAAAATAACAATATGTCCAGCCTCTACTCCACACAAATAATTCACCATTTCATTGATGTAGTAAAGTGGAAAAGCACTGGAGCAAGTGAATAATCACAGCCATTAGAACTTTCAACCCATTGACTTGTAATTCATGGATTTAATTGTTCATATATTTGTCAAGTCCTCATCTAATGAAAAATTTGTAAAAATCTATATTCTTATACAACAAGGTTTGGTTTACACACACGACTTGAGATGCAACTCACAAAGAATCCACCCTTTATTCATTCCCTTTATTTTATTTCACCCATTCACTTTTTATGTAAATGAGCTTTTTTTACTAAGCTCTGTCACAGAAAGGTGATCTTCTCACAATAAACCTGATCCAGATAGCATTTAAACCCTACTGGTAAACCTATAACAACCAAAACCCAAGAATAGTACAGTAGAGCGCAGATTTTCTGAATCCTGGTCATCTGAAACGTCAGTTAGACGAAATTGCCGCCAAAAACAGTAAATTCAAATTTCCCCCACGCCAACATTATGAGAGCAGCCGGCTGAAGCAGGCAACACAACACTACGTGAAACTCAGGGACACGGTGATTTTTCTGTCATGTAGGTACTACACGTATATACATCACCTAACTTTGTGTCAATGATAGTTGTTTTAAGAACATGACGTTTTTGGTTCACTTTTTGATTTACAGAATATGACTTTACTGTAGTTCTAAACTTGAACCCCGATTTCCAGCTTAGCTTTCGTGAGCTATGTTAACTGTATGTTGGTAAGAGGAAGGAATAAAAAACACTTTTACAAGGAAGACTTTAATTACGATATCTTAAAACATCTTGTATTAATAAAATGGATATTTTGTGATAGGCAAAAATACTTTTATTTAACATACTAGGATAGACTCTTAAAACTTCAAACAATTGTAAGATGGATTTAAAATTTTTATGTATCAAAAGATTACCTGACAGTAAGAGTATATCAAGTCAAGTAGTTGATAAAAATAAAATTTAGAAAAACTAATATTTTCTTGAATTAGTATTTTGAACATAGAGATTGAAATAATATACTACCTATAACCATAGACAAAAAGAATTAAATATAGACCGTCAGCCGTGCTGCGGTTACCACAGGTTCTGGCCCACATTGCTGGAAGCTCCGTGTAGTTACGTAGCGTGTACCCCGTAACTACATGGCGCTCCCAGCGGTGTGTGCCAGAACCCAGAACCAATGGTAACCGCAGCACAGCTGACGGTCTATATTTAATTGTTTTTGTCTGTGCTATAACTGAATTGAACACATGGTAAAACAAATCTAGAAATTATTAATTAGACCTAATTAGATCTAGAAAATTATCTTATAATGATATTTCAAAACTTTAGAAATGATTAACTCATTAATACACTTTTTCCATCTTACATATTACTTGCTAACTGATATTACAGGTGATATAGCTGCCCTATGTACATTTATTTGGTATTGTCTTGTGTCAATAATATTTACAAGCTCGTACATCTGAATATTGAATCAAAAGTTTTCTTGATACCAAAAAGCAACGAGACAAAATAAATCTTCAAGATTCCTCAAAGTCAAACAACAAATTTAGAATAACATATCTTACGTTTCAAGTGAAATTACATTTTGTTATTTTAGCACTAGAATAAAAGAATAATAAATAACTTAAACACAAGATCTAGATAACAAATATAGCAACTTGGCTAGATTATGATAGTTAATAATAAAATAAAATAATGAATTACTATATAATAATAATTTGGCTATACACTACTTGTATAGTGTGTCATAATACATATTATTATATATTTTAATAGGAGTAATTCATAAGTAAGGGTAATCATAAATATACACTTTAAGGGTAAAATTAAACAGATTGATGTACAATTAATTATTACACATCAAATACTAAAAGAAAATACATAGTCTACATGATGAAACCTTTTATACTAACAGTTTACTTGTACGTTGATTAATACTGTACTGAACATCTGAGCTAAATGCCCAATCAGTGTCCATTTATCTTACAAATTCATTTGGATAAGCCATTGAAAGGCAGTAAGTGATAAGAAATCCCTATATTCATATTGTAATTGTGGCGCATTTTCTATGTATGATTGTAAACACATTTAACATGTATGAATAAAGATTTAAATAGTAGTTTAAGCACACTTGGTAAACAAAAGCAGTACAAAAAATGTACAATATGAATAAATCTGTTGCAAAAGATTCATAAGAACAATATAAATATTGAAATATGCAAGGTAGAAAATCTACTACAAATATTGATTCATAGTCAATTCAATAGGTTAGTCTCAAATGTAAGCTCTATTAGATCAATTGGTCCCAAAAGGAAAGAAGGTAAAACTTTTAAGTTTTTGGCAAGGAAATAAAAAGAAACACCATAGCTGTGCCGCGATGAAATAAATAAAAACGTAAAGTTTCAATTGAGTAGTAAAAAAATCCAAAATATTTTTTTGAAATAAAAAAAAACAATAACTCACAATAGTAATAACGCTTGATTAACAAACATAATATTAGTTGGTTTTGTGCATTTATTTAATCTGAATTATTTCTATGGGTTTAATAATGAAATTTTAAAAATCTAAACGGCATAAACATACTTCCATTCTTTCTATAAACACTGGCTAAAAATAAACTTAACTTTTTGATTAATTTCAGTCTTGTGATTTTTTTAAACCTGTACGAGTAATCACACATAAAACATCATTAGCATAAAAGTTTTTATGTTATCACAATTTTTCTTACTTGACAATGACAACAATACATACATAATTTATACTGATTACATAGCATTTTATATGTAGAGACATTAAAGATATTTGTGATGCATTGTACTATCTACAAGTTATATTTGAATTTTAATGAAAACTTCATGACTTTAAACTGGTTCTTTTAGAGCATAATCATTGTTATGCCGAAGTTGCATAACAAACCTTTAATTTACAACAAATAGGTCGATAATTCATTTGATTTGCCACAGGTACAGAATGAAATTACAAACATTTAAATTTTTAACATTGATAAACTAAATGTTCAAAAGGATTGTATTTATAACACGGCATTTTACTATTTACATTCAAAGGAAGGGTACCAATTCGTACAAACATTTATAGCTGCATAAAAATGTCAAAAAACGTCAATCGTAGAGTAAAAACCATACTTTATTGCCTGATACACTTATGTAATTGTCCATGCCATAAAAAATAACCAGAAGGATACATTGCACTCAAGTAAAATCCTCTAACTAAATAATATATATGAAAACCAAAATTATCAAGGTTGATAAGAAATCAAACATTTTCAAATTTTAATTTGTTGCAACAATCAAAACGTCAACGTTCCTCTAGCTAACTAATACTATTAAAACAATTAAAAATTAAAATCTAAATGTACCCTTTAGATTATTTCAGAAGGCACAACAACTTGCTACATATCCGAATACTATACATAAAACACTACGACAATAATTTATGCTCAAGCGAACAAAGATCAACATAAATCGCATCAAAAATGGCACAAATACGTGGACCAATAATTTCTTCGAGAAAGTTGTAGCTTGCAAAGTATTTTTTAGGTTCCATGAGACCTATTTACATGGTGTCTACCAGTTCTCCTGGATATGAATTGATGAATGAACACATTATTCTTTTCTAAACTATTATGTACCTCGTGATGAATAATGAAATGTCCAAATGTCTTGTTAAAATGGAATTTAATTATTCTTTTCCTTTGTTAAAATACGAAAAACATAACTTAATTTCAGAAACCATAAGTTGATTCCTCGGTTATGAGAGAGTAAGTATATTTATAAACAAATATTGCTTTACCATTGTTGCTCCTGATTATGATGAATAAAAAAACCGTTATTAAATATTTTAATTCAGTAATTTTATAGACCAGTAGACACACTGTATGAGATCGTTTGGATTCATTTCATACAAGGTACAAGGTACGTGCTCTTAATTTGAAAGTTATAAAAATACTGCCCAGAGCACCTGGATAAATAAGCAGGATTATGTAAACAGGGTATATAAAAATTGTAGCGAGAGATGCTCCTATACGAATACTACATTGCGGTCAAACGTAGAAACCGTGAGAATCAGACGAGACGTGAGACATACAGATGTTGTGTCAGACACTGGTGTTACGCTCTGAGGTCTGTAATCAACAAAATGTTTACACCTATTAGCTTGGGCGATAGATACTATCAAGTAGAAATTCCATTGATAAAATCTGCAAAATAGTCATTTAAGCTGAAAGAAGTAATGAAAACTGTTAAACTGAACTCACCTTTCCCACGATGCTGCCGTTAGCTTCCCCTTCACGAGAGGCATCCCCTTGACTTAGTATCTTCTGGAAATTTATTAGATAAATAATCAGTTAGAATTAAACTAAAAAGTATCTTCTGGAAATTTATTAGATAATCAGTTAAAGTTAAAATTAAATTAAAAGATGTTAATTAACAAATGTAATACCTACACAACTAAGCTCATTTCACAAAATGTTTGCAGTTGTAGGGGAAGCAATGCCATTCCCTACCTTTGAAACAACAGCTGAACAATAAGCTCATACTGTTAATCAGCTGTAACATACATTAAGAAATAGTAATGGGGGAAACCAAAGAATCTTCGCCTCGAACTGCCTATTTTTTTTTGTGTATATTTTAATCATGGAGGTAATAACAAATAAAATAACTTTAGTTATTAAATAACAATTCCTAAAATTTAAACTTTTGTGGGTAATGATAAACGTCTCTGTGGCAAGTGGAAACTAAATAACTGAAAGCCTGCATTGAGCTGTTCTCTATAACTAGTAAAATTAGTCTTCATCAACAAAGACTGATCTGAAAAACAAATAAAATTACGGTATAACATTTTGCTTTAAAATACTAACAACGTTTATCTGTATTTATTGCTATGTAATGGAAATAGTAACAAATGTAGTAAAATGAAAACATGAAAAATGTGAATAAACTTAGTAAATACACAGTAATAAAAAGAAAGCAGACTTAAGTTTTAAATTTTTTTACAAATGGTTTTGGAATGCAAACCAAACACAATTATTTACAGGTTAAAAAATATATAGACTAGCCTAAGTTATTAAAATAAATTAATTTTAGTTTTTAATAATGATAGATCCCAATGCTTAAAAGCTTGAAAGCACACCCTTCACCAATGTAAGTTAAAAGGTCTAGTAAAGAGGGAGAAAAGATAAAAAGCTTGAAATTAAATCTATACAACAAAAAATGTATATATATACAGTAAATATACCCCCAAGTAAAATCAAGGTATATGATAGTAAATCAATCATTCAAACATCTATTGAAAACTGGTCATGCCATATATAAACAAATATATCAAGCAGATATAAATCAATCAACTCATAAATACCAATTTAGCTGTGCAATTAGATTTTAATAGATTAAATAAATAGAAAAAATTGCGTGGAAACCTCAGCACTGGAGCCAACTGTGTTTGTGTTATTTCATGCGTTTTATTTTAAAAGGGAGTTTCCAATCATGTTTTGCATCATTAATGCTGCAGGCTGCAGGTGCTTTTTGTTCTGTATAAAAATTTTACTGAGAGGGCATAATATCAAGTCTGTCTATTAGGTGTTTATTTTTCTTTTTTCATTTTAATTGGGCGTATATAAAAAAAAGTATAAGACAAAAAAAATGCAATACAACCGCTTATCTTCCAGTTTCAGGTAAAATATTTTACGTAAGGGCTCGTGGAAAACCTATACAATAGTGATTTATTAGCAATAATTATTAAAATTTAAAACAGATCCAAAGTATTTTTTATAATCATACAGAAATTGAAGGAAGGCTTATACTCCGCGCCAAAGCTGGTGGCGGCTGAGGGATTAGGACCGCCAGGTAGGACTACATAGGTCGGACCTGCTCACCGACCTGGCCGTCCTAATCCCTCAGCCGCCACCAGCTTTGGCGCGGAGTATAAGTAGTTGATAATTACTGGTTATACAGAGTGCTTCCAATTTAAGGGATTTTTGATTTTCTAAAATCAAGTCAGTCCTGTCCTAACCACAGACCATTTGGCAAGGTTATCGATCAGTTCACCTAAAACTTTAGCTGTGTTTTGAACTTCAAGTTGAGGAATCAACCTAACCTTATCACACCACACAGTTGAAAATGTTTAAGTCAGTTCTTCTGAGATTTTAGCTGATGTCAAGCTAATCTATCCTAACTGCTACAGACCAGTTGGGAAAGTTTGGATCAGTTTACTTGAGACTTTAGGTGTGTTCCGAACTTCAAGTTGAGAAAACAACCTAACCTTATGATACCACACCATTGAAAATGTTTAAGTCAGTTCATATGAGATTTTAGCTGTTGTCCAGCTAACCTATCCTAACTGCCACAGACCAGTTGGCAAGGTTGGGATCAGGTCATCTGAGCCTTTAGCTGTGTTCCGAACTTCAAGTTGAGAAAACAACCTAACCTTATGACACCACACCATTGAAAATGTTTAAGTCAGTTCATATGAGATTTTAGATGTTGTCCAGCTAACCTATCTTAACTGCCACAGACCAGTTGGCAAGATTTTGATCAGGTCACCTAAACCTTTAGCTGTGATCCGAACCTCAAGTTGAGAAAACAACCTAACCTTATGAAACAAGATTTTAGCTGTTGTCAAGCTAACCTATCCTAACTGCTACAGACAGGTTGGCAAAGTTTTGATTAGATCACATGAGTCTTAGGCTGTGTTCCAAACTTCAAGTTGAGAAACCAACCTAACCTTATCACACCACACCAATGAAAATGTTTATGTCACCCTAAACATAATGTGGGTTGAACCTTACCAAACCATACCATTGGGAAATATTTATGTCTGTTGTCGGATGTCGTAAGACACTCAAGTTGACAAACCAACCCATCCTAACTACCATTTTTTAACCTATCATATTTTTTAGTTTAACTACCACAGACCAGCTTGAGAGGTTGGAATCAGTTTAACTGTCCTGTCAGATGCGTTAAGACCCTCAAGTTGACAAACTAAAACTTAAGTTGACTATCCTGTCATTTTTTTATTGGACAAATCTTTATTTCCACAGGCTAACTCTCTAGGTTCGCATCGGATCAGATCACATAAACTTTCAGATGTGTTAAGACAATCTAAAAGACGGACAAACTAAACTTAACACGTTCGCTACTGCAATAGTACGAAATTTTTCATTCACATGGACCAGCGACGCACATATGCGACGGCCGGTTTCCACCCAATGACCGGTGGGGCACACGGGAGGGACTAAGGCTAACATATCTTGTAGTGTCAGCGTTCGCCGCTAGGACTGCTAAGTTGAAAAAATTTAAATTAATTTTTAATTTTTTATTATAAAATTAACTTTTTAATTATAAAATATTGTTTTAAAATTATAAAATAAATTTTTAATTTTTAAAATTAAACTGTCATAACATAACCTAACCAACCAGACTTGCTGATAATATAAAAACTATATAAGATAAAAATCTAATTAATGATTACTAATAATTTTTAATTAATTATAAAATTAATTTTAAAATTTAGTATTATAAAATTAAACTGTCATAACCTAACCTAACTAACCAAACTTGCTGATATGAAAAATTTGTTGATAAAAAGTTAGTGCTGCCAGCGGGTTTCGAACCCCGGACCTCCTAAACACCAATCCGAAACGCTACCAACTATGCCACGAACGCCGCTGAAATCACATCGTTTCGTTACGGTAATCGTGTCGCCTCAAGAGAAGACATTAACCACTAGAGATATGACGTCACTACACCTTTAGCCTTAGTCCCTTCCGTGTGCCCATTCCCCCAATGACTGCTGTCGCATATATGCGACGGCTAGTCACATTAAAATAGACTGCCGACGCATATTTGCGTCGGGGTTCTAATGTTATTAAAATGCTTATATCTTTGTAGTGGTCTATTTGAAGGCACTGAATACCCTGCAGTGGTCTACAGAGATGTCTGACGCACAACTGCGTCGCTTGGTCTGTGGATATGATGATTGGTGACGTCATATAATAGTTTGAAAAACTGGTCTTTACTTTTCTGCATCACTGTATGTATGTATGCAGTATGTATGCTGCATTATCCTATGTAGCTTTTATATTTGTTCAGTTATAAACTGTTCTTGAATAATCTGTTTATTTTTTACTTACTTTTACCTTAAAACACAAAAAAATGAACTGTCGCATATATGCGACGTTTAGTCTATTTTAAGAAAACTATGATAATTTTCACTATTGTCTTCGCTGTAGACCGGGCGTCGCAAATATGCGACATTACAAAAGGTTACAAAAAATACAAAGAAACAAGAATAATTTATTCACAAACAAGATTGTAGCGTATTACAATGTAAATGATCACTGTTTTACAGGTTTTCGCCCCTGGTCTGTGTGTACTGTTAACCAAGTGACAGCCGGTCTATGTGTAAGATTCAAGTGTATACCTCGGTCTGTACCTTCGCTCAGTAGCGAACGTGTTAACTATCTCAACATACTGATATACTGACATCTACAGAATGACATACCTACTCTATATAACCAGTAAGGAGTGGCGAGTTTGTTAATGTGTTAGCAATGCACTTACACCAGCAGGCGAAGTTGAGATCAGTTCACCTGAGCTGTCGGCTGCGTTACGACCCTCCAGAGGACAAACTAACTCCCCGTAGTCAAGCTCTGACTTGGTCTTCTTCCGCTTCAGTGTAAACTGAGATTTCTTTGGCACCTAAAAATATTTAGAGCATAAATTTGGCTTTGAAATATTGTCATAATTTAGATTAAATAAATAACATGACAATTTCGCTGTTTGAATATAAGAATAAACTATAATGCTTTCAAAGTAGGTACCTTAGATGCAAATAAAGTATGTATGCATCTATATAAAGCTAAGAAGGATCTGAACTTTTGGGAAAACCATAAGCACACATATCAATCGCATACTCGAATCTTGATTTGAAACTTACCCAAAAAATATCAGTTTTTTTATAAACCCTCTCAGTTGATTTAGATACCCTGAATATTCTTTTAAGTATTTTTGCCCCGTTGCGAAGCACGGGCACAAAAATTAGGTGTAAAAAAGTTATCTTAAGGATGAAGTACATTTTAAAACTCAACTGTTCCTGAGTCAATAATTTTTGTAGCTTAGGCTACCACTCTAATGCTATAACCTTAGGCATGTACCTTCAGTATCCATTATTCAATGCATATACTAAGATCCAAAATGAATTTGCATAGATTTGATCTCAGGACATGATACTCCTGGAGGAGTTGTACTTAGACCAGGTTCACACGAGCGACCCATTTAGCTGACTGGTTGTGACTAGAATTTTCGGCCCCAAAGCGACATACCAGTTCACACGAGCGACATGGCCACCAACTATATCGCAGGCGTGTCTTAAACGAAGGAGCATCGATAAAGACCGACTGCATACAAAAACGCTCTCTGGCTACATGTTCTGCTACACCACAGAGCTAGTGACTAGCTAGCCACAGCAAATCGCGACAATAGGCTAGGAAGTTGCAAGGTCGGACCTGTCGGACCCTGACGGTAGTTTGCTTGGTTATAACCAAAGTATTTCCTTACGGGCTAAGGACCACTTGTCCATCCTAGATTAAGTATTGTTTTTTCAGTCAAATGACATCAGACATGTAAAGGTTGTTCTAGTGAAAGTATGTATTGGAGTATTTGTTCATGCATAAAAAAATAACTTAAAAAGATCCATATCTATTATATATACAGGGTCAGTAAAAAGAGTGGAGACCTCCTGTTATTTTTTTAACGGCCCATACTAGAAAAACTAAACTCGGCACACCTTTATGACATGTTATGAAGTACTTTTTGGGCATAACCGTCACTTGGTGTACATCCCCAAAATGGGGGATTTTGGAGGAAACTCAAAAATTTCAAATACAAAGACCCATCGAGTGACCCCTCATTTTGAAGGTCCTGGTAAAAGAAAACCAACAACGCAAACTAGAGGTCTTTATCTCAATCCAGTAAAAAATGGCAGCCAATTGAAATTCTCAGAAGTTCAATTTAACTTACAGCTTTCCAAGTCTGGAGACCTGCTGTAAATTTTGTAGCGGCTCACACTAGGAAAACTACACACCTTTTTGGCATGTTATGAAGTACTTTTTTAGCCTAATAGCCACTTGCTTACCATACCCAAAATGGGGGATTTTGGGGGAAACTCAAAAGATTTAAATGATAAGCCCCATCAAGTGACCCCTCATTTTGAAGGTCCTGGTAAACGAAAACTAACAACGCAAACTAGAGGTTTCTATCTCAATCCAGTAAGCTGATTGAAATCTTTAGAAATTTCAAATAACTTGCAATTTTATATTCAATTAGCTGCCATATTTTACTGTGTTAAGATAGAGACCTATAGTTTGCGTTGTTACTTTTCTTTTATTATGACCTTCAAAATGAGGGGTCACTCGATGGGGCTTATCATTTAAAATTTTTGAGTTTCCCCCATTTTGGGTTTGGGAACTTATGAGAATTTCAATTGTCTGCCATTTTTTTACTGAACTGAGATAGAGACCTCTAGTTTGCGTTGTTGGTTTTCTTTTACCAGGAGCTTCAAAATGAGGGGTCACTCGATGGGTCTTTGTATTTGAAATCTTTTAGTTTCCCCAAAATCCCCCATTTTGGGGATGAACGCCAAGTGGCGGTTATGCCCAAAAAGTACTTCATAACATGCCATAATGGTGTGCCGAGTTGAGCTTTTCTAGTGTGGGCCGTTAAAAAAATAACAGGGGGTCTCTACACTTTTTACTAACCCTGTATAGATATATTTGCTATAGAGGTTTACCTTCATCTTGGCAGTGGTGGTGAGTGGTATGTACCCTAGACTAGCCTCTGCCTCCCTCTTCTGTTGGATAACCTCTCGACCAAGTAGTTCTTTGAAGTGGGTCAGCAGGTGTCTCCTCAGCAGTGTCTTGGCAGGTGGTATACTCAGCAGACTGGCCAACAACTCCCCTGTGAACCTTGGCTCATACACCATCAGTCCTCCATGCACACCTGTAGTACAATGCAACAATCATCATCAGACATCAAGCAGTTCTTTGAAGTGAGTCAGCAGATGTCTCCTCAGCAGTGTCTTGGCAGGTGGTATACTCAGCAGACTGGCCAACAACTCCCCTGTGAACCTTGGCTCATACACCATCAGTCCTCCATGCACACCTGTAGTACAATGCAACATTCATCATCAGACATCAAGCAGTTCTTTGAAGTGAGTCAGCAGATGTCTCCTCAGCAGTGTCTTGGCAGGTGGTATACTCAGCAGACTTGCCAACAACTCCCCTGTGAACCTTGGCTCATACACCATCAGTCCTCCATGCACACCTGTAGTACAATGCAACAATCATCATCAGACATCAAGCAGTTCTTTGAAGTGAGTCAGCAGATGTCTCCTCAGCAGTGTCTTGGCAGGTGGTATACTCAGCAGACTGGCCAACAACTCCCCTGTGAACCTTGGCTCATACACCATCAGTCCTCCATGCACACCTGTAGTACAATGCAACATTCATCATCAGACATTGTAATGGAATGGCATGTGATTTAGTAATCATTTGTATGTTTACTCATATGACTATGGTTACCAGGGGTTACTATGTTCTTGATTTTATGTGAGTTATTAAGTTAGTTGAATGTGGAATAAAAGTTCTTAGAATTTGTTTTATTCTGTCTTTACAGATATTTTCTTAAGCCAAGCAATTCATGTTTGCTATTAATTGTACCTGATGATGGCCTATACATTTTTGTTATGTTTTCGGCAATGAAAGATTCTGATTTCTGAACATCAAGCAGTTCCTTGAAGTGGGTCAGCAGGTTTCTCCTCAGCAGTCAACATTTTACTGGTTCTCTGCATACCTTAAAATGCCACCCATTTTGCCAACATTTTGCTGGACCTGGGCGACTTGTCTCTTTCCACAAGCACTGAAAAGGAGGGTGGCTTGGCCACCACGGAACTCCAGGAAAAAGTGCTCTTATTTTCCCTGTATCTTTATATGTTTTTGATTTTGTCAGACGACGTTCTCAGTTTTGCGGTAACCACTAATGGTTTTCTAAATTTCACTGAGTTCATGGAAGGTGTTTACGATTTGGCCGTGACCGCGGACAAAATTCACGATTTACCATGACTGCAAACAATGTTTTAAGGTGGGATTTTCAATTTTCATGTGCTAACGCAGTTTTATGAGCATTTAAGCAAGCAAAATACAGCATGTCACCGGCTATTAAACCCTTCTTAGTTCCTCTTTAATCCACATTACAAATATTTGCTAAATTTATGTTTTCCCGGTGACATTTCCAAATGCACGCATAATTCCTCTTTTTTGGCACCCTGCCTTTCCCAACCATAGTTGCCTATCATATCACCGAAAATAGGCTGCATACATCATATAAACACCTCTAAATACCCCCTAGCTTGCAAGGTATGACTACAGTACAGGTCACATATAGCTCCACTAGCCTACCCACCATTACACATACTGACCTGAACCTCGCAGGTTGGGAGCATACTCCGCCAGGTCCACGGCTCTCAACCACTCCATCACTCTGTGATTGGTCCACAGAGCCACCTCCCCCTCACCTTCCCCCTCCCCACTCGACCGCCTGATCAGGCAGTTAGCCTCAAAGTTCTGATTACGTAGTACCTGCAGACAAAAAAATTATTCAAACTTCAACTAATCAGCTGTTTAGGCCAATAACAATGTTTCGTTGCATCACTGTCAGTGGCAATGAGAGGTTATAAACATAAACTAAAACATAACTTCTCTTAGAATGGAACTAATGAGTAGTCATTTTTAGTAATTAAAACACTGTCGTAGGTAAAGTAGTTTACTCAACTCGCGTTAATAGTGTTAACGACACTCGTAGAAGTTTTTAAGGCACTCACCAAGGCTCGTACCTTTTAAATTTTCTACTTGAGTCGTTAACAATATCTTTACGCAATCGTTGGATAAACTACTATCACAGTACTAATAAAAATTATACAGTAGTTATGAAACAAAATAAATAGGCAATATTAGCTCAGTGCTCAGTTAGGATTGAATACTACCTTTTGATGTAGTTGATTGTCTAATGATTGCACCTAGTTGCAGACTAAACTAGTAGAGGAAGGTAGATTTCTTAAGCTTACCAGTATCCCAGTGCGTATGCTAGCCACATGGAGAACGCTGGTTACATGCAGTGTTGCCAAATCATCAACAGTTAGCCTGTGTAACAGTCGGCCATCTACTCTAGCTGCTGCAAACGTATCCTTGTGTTGTGGCAGACCTGTGAAGATACAAGACAACATTATTACCAACTGGATTTATTACTGAAGTGAAGAGCCCATATAGATTTTTGACCATCAGATTTTAATGTTTAGGTTTATGATTCAGAATTATTCCAAAATATTTAAAGCTATTGGCTGCTTCCAATGCCTGACATTTACATTTTTCTTTCAAGTATGTTTAACTGTGCAGACAGTTTTGTAAATGTGCTGTAATGGAAGGGGTCAAATATTGTAAACAGGAAGTGTTTGGAAATGTTGTGTGAGTAGGCTGGAAGTGTTGTTAAACAACAGCTTGTTGTGCTGACCTACTGAAGGCTGTTACTTTAAGTAGACCAGTGCACTTGATCAGGGGATCAGTTTTGGTGTGGGTGTTTGTGTGGTGCACCGGGACAGGGTCCTGCTGGGGGAGCTGGAGCCCAAGGCCAATGTAAACGGTTTTCAAAATTGGGATTTAGAGTCTTTTCCAAATTGGGGGTTACGCTACTAACTAATTTTTACAGTTCCAGTCTACTCTACCTTTTTGATTGTTAGTTTAGCTTTGTGTTCTTTGTGTTGTTTTGAGTAATTAATAAAGTTGGGTTTTGTAAGCGAGTGCTGAGTTTCCTTCCTGAGCTACGTCACCCAAAGTAACAGTAGGTATTCCAAGTAGGGGAAATGCTTACCGTTACAGTGCTAACTGTAGGTGCCTACAGTCAAATATTTTGTCAAAAGAATTGTACTAAAGAAAATTTGGATTTTAGACAGAGGTAAGGAAACTTTAAGGAGTCCAGGGTCAATAAAATAGATTTTTGATAAGACTTGGTTGTATATGTATTACATACCAGCATCATCTAGCCAACGTAACACCCAGGCAGTGTCCAGAGCTCCAGCCACATGTAGGTAAGGATCTCCTGCTACACCTCCACTCTGGGAACCACTGTCTCTCAGACAGACCAGGGCTAGGTGTAGCTTCTTACGGTGAAGAGGGTTCTGTCAATCAGTTCAAACATAGCCTAAGTCATAAAACAGTTCAAGGCCTAATTACAGTCAAACTATTTATTTGTAAAAGTCGTTTATACTTTGTTGGTTCATCACAATATTCTGTTAGTTACAAATTTATAAAATTCACAAATAACATTAGTTACCTGAGGCAAGACTTTGATAGATAACATTCAGTCAATAGAAAACTGAATATTGAATTGTTAAAGTGCAAACCTATTTAAATGACCAAACAAAATATTTTTTTTTCAAGTAAATTACAGTAATCACAAAAAGTGTTGAATGATAAAGTCATTTTCAAATTCAAACTTTTAGGCTACTTAAAATCATGGTAAGCCTACACAAATCAAATAGCGTAGCAACAAAGCGCAAAGGGTTTCAATTTGACAGGATGCATTTTCTTAGACTAGATAAACACTAACATTCAAAATATTTGACACAAACTGACCTTGATACTAAGTTCTTTCTCCACATCCTGATTGCTTGCTTGTAACAGTTGAGCCCCAGTTTTGCTCCAGGACTTGTCACACTCTACGCCCAGCTCTGTCAGCCAGCTGGTGACATGCTCTGAGGTCCAGTCCTCTACCTTCTCTGGCCTACAACAAACAGTGCTTGATTATAACAAAATAATAGTCTTTAAATAGTATACTTAACATTTTTATACATAACAAATAACGCACCAGACCTTACAGCTCAACAGACAACAATACAAAATATATTCTCACAAAATAAAAAAAATCACTGAAACATAATGAAAATTGAAAATATATGAAAATTTTTTGTTTACCATACTAAACCAAAAAAATAAATGAATGTTAAAATGTACAAAAATAAATCAAAACAGAGTCAAGAATTTAATTTGAATTAGAACATATGATTGAAATCTCACTTAAAAGTAAAACGAACAACGTTAAATATCTGTTGAGTTAAACAGTTTTTTACATAAACTTAAGTTTAAACCAGAGGAAAACTTACCTTTGAGCAGTTTAGAATCTCTGTTGGTTATATAAGTTTGAATGTGGATCGTGAAGTGCCTTACGTTAGTGGTGGCATAATGTAATTTGGAACTCACGACGTGAGCTATTGACCAAAATGACGTATTGTCTAGACTTCAAACTATATACCGGGTTTGAATAACAGACTTGTAGTTCACACCCAACACACACCTGTTGTCCTGTGGAGGGGACGTCCAGCCCAATCTCGCTCCAGCTGTGGCCCTCACACCACCTCTGCGGAACTCTCCTTCCAGAGGCAGATCGTCTAGGTTACCAGAACCACTTCTCTTCATCCTACCAAACATGACATCCTTCGCTTAGTTTTGACACCAAAATCATTCTGAGAAGCTGTTAGTAACCTATTTTAGGCGACTACCTAGTTGTGTTAAACTTTGTCTTGTAATGTCACTAGCATTGTTTTGTTCCAAGATTAACCTATTGTTGAAACATGATTAGCGGATGATTGCAGTTAGGTAGATCTGAGGGGTTAAGGAGTTTGCTTTGTTAAATATATGACCCAACTTTTTTATGGTTTTAAACTATTCTCAGCTATCATTGATCCTTAGACTTTCATAAATAATCCTGACTGAGGAATAAACTATTATTAGTCCAGCTGTTACTAGTAAAATTAAATTGATATAAATTGGAATCAGATTTATACTTCTCTTCAACTCCACCTTGCACACTTGACCTTCTACAGAGCTACTCTCCTCAACTCGCGCATTCGCATAATATTGATGAAAATGGCATACTGTACCTATCTGCACAATTTTTATTTCACCTGCGGTTTTTCGATACAGACGAAATGAGAGCATTCTATTGGCTGTCATGGCGTGACGCCACTCTCTTCTCTTGAGGGAACACCATACCAATGATACGAAGTGCAGCCATCTGTGTTCGTGGTATAGTGGATAGAGAACTCGGCTGATGTCCAAGGGGTAACCAGATCCAATCCCACCGTTGACACTAACTTGTTGTCAAAGATTTTGCTTAGAATGTGATTAATTCATAACTGTACATCTTTTATTGGAATTTGAGGCATTTATAATTTAATTTTATGAATAGAACTATTTTTTTGATTAGTAAACCGTCATTCGATTTTTTCATTATCAGCAAGTTTATCTTAGAGCTATCTTAGGGCTTGCCAACTTTGTTTTTTCAAAACGGTTTATTTTCTGTAAGCTCCAGCAGCCCACAGTGTCTGCGTATCTCACAGTTCTCATCTTCCCGAGCTGAGAGGAGCGGAGCTCTGTAGAAGGTCGAGTACCTTGCATTACGATATCAGTTGTGTGCCTGTCGTAGTAAATAAGATGTTTTAAATCAGACCAAACTTTATGTTTCTCAGGTTTGAACTGACAACCTTGGGTATGGAAAGATGGATTGACATTGATACACTCACTTTTTCTTGCTAAAGTCCATATTCATTCTGTCTTTTCTTTTATTATTTTGTACAATACTTACTTTCCAAAAATCTTCTTGATTCCTCTAGTCTTGCTGGTCTGCAAGGATGGGGAGGGGGAAGCTTGCGGAGTTTGACTTCGTCCGTCAGTTTCTGATATTGTGTCTTCTCGACTGATCATGATCATTTCAGTTTCGGCTAGAAATCAAAGTTCATCAATAAAATGAGAAGTAATTTCCTAAGAATTGGAGATAAATATTTATATAATTATTTTGCCTGTTTAACTGTTTATAAACACCTGCATTTTGTAACTATCTGGAGTATCAGTTTTTAGATAACAGCTGATCATATTTGGCTCAAATATTTTTAGAAATATATTTGTCCTAACCAGTTTTCTAGCATGCAATGCCACCAATATACAACATATCATGCACACTGAAATGGGAATCACTAGGCCATGTTGTAAAGTAAAAAAATGTATATACTAAAACTAATGATCTTCGTTATTATTGACTTTTTGTTTGGTCTTTAGTACATTGAAACACTTATGAAACTAGCAGCTAACAGCTTAAAGTAATAAAATAACCAATTATAAAATAAAGTGCAAAGCAGCGAGGACAGGAGGCCATGCGTGCGGGCTCCCCAGGCATGCTGGGAAATTTTTGTTGGTAATTTGTGCAAAGGTGCTATCAACTTGTGTATATCTCTCTGCAAAAGTGATTCACATTTTTTTTTTACTAAACAATATTACTTTTTAATAACATAAAACTTTGATGTACAATAACATTAAACGAGAGGTCGTCCAGTGGTCGAAACTCGACCAAAAATATGTAATGTACTCACTTAACTATTTTCACCCCACACTGTAAATAAAACATGTGATTGGAGTTTCCTCCATTTGTTTTGATTTTCTGTTTATATTTCGTTGTTATTTCGTAACCAGCATAGCAACGCATAAGATCCATGTTAATTTTTTACAACTTTTAAACTTATTTTTTGTGCTTATCTTTGAGCCTATTTAAATTTATAAAGGGATTCTGCACACCTACAGGAAAATAGCTTTCCAACGGTATGCGTAGATTTTCCCTACGATGCACACGAGCTGAGAAAAAAGGTTTTAAAGAAACATGCTTGCCTATTAATATATAGATAGATATTTTCTACCTTATTTTTTGTTTTTGACAAAGTTGATAGGTTAGTTACCATAAATCATAATGAGTCATTCCATAAAGTTTGACATATTTGACAAAAATCAAAGTCATTTAGATCAGTGCAATCTATTGGTGGCTCACATCAACTACGACAAATTTAATTTAAAAACTGGTGACAACTTTAACATGGGGAAGAATGTCTAGTTGTTAGTCAAAGGTAGGCTACTACAGGCTTCTCTATTTTCATCCAACTCTGTAAATAAAACATGTGATTGTAATAAATTTCTTCCATTTGTTTTGATTTTATGTTTATATTTTGTTGTTATTTTTTTCACCAACATGGCAACCCATAAAGCCCATGTTAATTTTATTTAGATTTCAAATACATTTTTTGTGCTTATTTTTGAGCCTATTTTAATTTTTAAAGGGATTCTGCGCATCTACAGGAAAATATCTTTCTAACAGTGTGAGTAGATTTTACCTGCGATGCACACAAGCTGAGAAAAAAGGTTCCAAAGAAACATGCTTGCCTATTAATATATAGATAGATAGTAGTATAGAAAGTATTATTTTAGATTATCAACAATTTTAGCATGCCAAAATATTAAATAATCATAGGCTCTTGTAGTGATTGAAAAAATACTAACTGAATGAGATGAAATTGTAATAGAAGCTTAATTTAACAATTGTCATATTAACATTGATTAGAAATCATGTGATTTTATTAAATTAAAAAAAAAAAAAAAAAAATTATAATACCATACCACACCAAAATTATACAGTATGACAGATTCTGATTCATGAATGAGTTACATTGTATTGTTGTACCTACGAAAATATTTACTACTCAGAGAGAGAGAGAGAATAAGTTTATGGAATAAGATAAATCATAACCAGTTTGGTTCCTATTTGTAGCCTAACTTTAACCCCACGATGTTTATGTTGTTAAAAAGATTATCGGTAACATTTCCCACCACAAGTAAAACCTGCGTATTACACACCAATAATGGAAACTGTCCACAAAAATCCTTTGAATAACACAAACTCAACATTGGCAATGAAGTTGAAAAAAAAGTACATATGAATTGAATGAAAAAATGCCAATGTAGTCATCTAATAGACAGCAGTTTTTGTTGATTGTGGGTGGGGAGGGAGCCCGCGTACACCAAGCCAGCAGCGCCGAGGTAGACATGCACCAGTCACCTAGGTTGGGCACTGAGGAGCTCCTATCACCCGCAGCTCGCATTAACATCAAACTCCTACCAAAAGCCACCCCCTTGCGAGGGGTGTCAGGGGCAGGGACGGGGGCTGGGGTCATCTGACGGGGCAGACTGTTGAACTGCATCTCCCCTGCACGACGGTAACCCCCCACTGGACTCTGAAATATAGAGATACCAAGTTTTAAAGTCTCTGCATAATAAGAGGTTCAGTAAAAAGTTTGGATTTTAATCCAAAAGTTCCGACCTAATAAGAGGTACTAAAAATATTTTAGTCATTACAAAACAAGAATAAAACTAGATCTTAGAATGCAAATATATAACAGTTTTTGATTAAAACCAGAGATAGCAAGACAGAAGACTCACACTTTAAACAAACACTAGGTCAGTCTCTGGGTACGGCTGCGTCACAGAAAGAAACTATTTACCAAGTGCTGATGTTTTGGCTTCAATGTAAAAACAATATTCAGACCAGTTCACTGGAACAAGTGTCAGACTCTACTGCTGTTCTAGTGAACTGCTCTGATGCTGATAGAAATCAGTTTCTGTCTGTGACACGGTCCTACCTAGTAAACCTACCTAGTAGTAGTAGTAGTAGTAGTATTAGTGGGTAGTGTTAATGTTAGTGATCATGGAAGCCTTACTTTTATTAGTACCCTATCTCTATCTGATTTTATGACAACACATCAGTTAGTATACCTGATGCTGAAGGTTGATGTCGTCATGGTGCTCTACCAGTCTACGAGGACTTGTTCCGTTGGCTGTCACAGGACTGGGTGATGGTGACACGCCTCTACTGGCCACCTGCAAAACATAAAAATGAACTACCGTGAGGGCCCTTGTTTATTCTGAATGTTTCACGAGGGTATTTTTATGGACTAAACCGTTCGGAGTGAGGGATGTCATTAAGAGAGCAGGGGGGAGGGAGACAGACGGGATATATGAGCTTTAACCTAACAAAAAAATACCCTGCCTCAGCAAACCTGCTGACTAAGCGAATTTCATTTAGCGGTAGTTTAACGAGTACTTAGGTTTGCTGCAACAGGGAGGGTAAAAAGGTGTTTTTTTGTAAAATTTTAATAGTTTAGTATGAAATGAATGCATTTTCCAAATTTGATCAAAATATGATCATAAACAAGCAAACTAGCAACAGTTTACTTAATTTACAGTTTTTTTGGAATTTTCTCCGCAACCATTAGGCACATAATAACGCTTCAATATACTAAATTATTTGTTTTTTTAAGCTATACAAAATGGTTTGGAAAGAAAATGCTAAATTTTAAGTTTTTAGGGTCAAAAATGGGAAAAACCAATTTTCGCCCCATAAAACCCCCCATAACCGAACTTGATTATCTGATTTTCTGTTCCCATAGTCCGATAATGCTGGTTCGCGAACTCGTTCAAATAAGCGTAGGTTTACACATTTGTACCAAATTTCATCAAAATCGGATGATTTTTGCTCGAGTTATCGCGCTAACGGACACATATATAAATATAGGCCCTATATATATATATGAATTTGAACGGATGGTGTTTTTGGCCTCTAGGGACCTCAAAACGAAAAAGTAAATCGGTCCCGGGTCCAGGTCTTACCATGAGTACTACGGTAATAGCTTATTCCCTATATAGTGCAGTAAAAATAAGAGAAAAATTCCATAAACCTAAAAAAAATTAGCACAACCGGGGAATTTGGTACAGATGTTGGGTGTACCTTCCTTTTGAACATACTAAAAGTCCCCTAAAATTGAAGCTGTGCTACGGCCGCCATATTGGAAAATGGCGGCATATTTCTGTATTTTTCGCTATAGTGACTTTATTATTAGAGATACAGGAAAAAGCTTAATATACAAAATGTAGGTCATCTAAAAATACACATTTTTTGTATTTATCATCTTTCTCTAAACCCAACGGTTTTTGAGTTATTTGTTATTAAGTATATTTAGTTTTTTCTATTTATCAAAAATAGGTGAAACAAATGGAAATTGACCGTTACTTTCAAGGATTATGATAATTTATCCCATTTAGTTAAATAGTGTGATACTATAAAATCTTAAAATTAAAGCTTATTTTATGAGTAAAACAACTCTGCCACAGCAAACCTGCAGACTCAGCAAATTTCCATTTGATTGGATGTTTTATTAATTGTATTTAAATAAAATTAGATTCAACAGGTACCTAGGTTTGCTGCTACGGGTAGGTTATTATAGTGTGTTTATTTTTTAGTAAAATATCAATAACTTAGTATAAAATAATTAATTTTCCAAGTTTGATCATAATAAATCTATAAACAAACAAACTGCAACAGTTACGGTAACTAATTCATAATAATAGCATGGTAGCTTAAGATTTACAATTTAAAAAATTTAAATGTACAAATTTTGGTTGTGTTTACTGAAAATATGGCGATTATTTGTCACGATTCGAATACTAACCGAAGGGGTTTTCAAAAGGAGATGAAGCAAGTAATTTAAGTACTGTAATATTAACTCGTAACAAGTATCGGAAATATTGTATGCAGTGAGGAAATCAACCATATTTTGTAAACTACGCAATAGTCATATTAATATTTTATACTCATTTTTACCCATTTAATAAATTAACATTTTAATATTTTGATGGCACTACCACTATCACTCTGATATCAACTAAGGGGGATGAATAATTGTCGTAAACCTTGAAAGTAACCGTTGATTGCGATGGGTTTCACCGATTTTTGATAAATAAAACTAACTATACTATACCATACTTAATTAGTCACCAACATGAACTACACCCTTCCAAATTTACAATGGGATGTCAAGTATAGTTAGTTAGTGTGGTGGTGCCATAAAAATACTAAAATGTTAACTATTAAATGGGTAAAAAATGAAGATAAAATATTAATATGACTATTGCGTACTTTACAAAATATGGTAGATTACCTTACTGCATACAATATTTTCGGTGCTTGGTACGAATTAATATTACTTAAATAACAGGCTCCATCTCCTTTTGAAACCCCATTTGGTTAATATTCTAATCGTGACGAATAATCGCCATCTTTTTAGTAAACACAACCAAAATTTGTATATTCAAATTTGTTTATTGTAAATTTAAAACTCCCATGCTATTCTAATGAATTAGTTAACTGTTGCAGTTTGCTTGTTTATAGATATATTTTGATCAAACTTGGAAAATTAGTTATTTTATAGTAAGCTATTGATATTTTACTTAAAAAAACACACTATAATAACCTACCCGTAGCAGCAAACCTAGGTACCTGTTGAATCTAATATTATTTAAATACAATTAATAAAACATCCAATCAAATGGAAATTTGCTTAGTCTGCAGGTTTGCTGTGGTGGAGTTGTTTTACTCATGAAATAAGCTTAAATTTTTAGATTTTATAGTATCACACTATTTAACTATATAGGATAAATTATCATAATCCTTGAAAGTAACGGTCGATTTCCACGTGTTTCACCTATTTTTGATAAATAGAAAAAACTAAATATACTTAATAACAAATAACTCAAAAACCGTTGGGTTTAGAGAAAGATGATAAATACAAAAAATGTGTATTTTTAGATGACCTACATTTTGTATATTTAGCTTTTTCATGTATCTCTAATAATAAAGTCACTAAAGTGAAAAATACAGAAATATGCCGCCATTTTCCAATATGGCGGCCGTAGCACAGCTTCAATTTTAGGGGACTTTTAGTATGTTCAAAAGGAAGGTACACCCAACATCTGTACCAAATTCCCCGGTTGTGCTAATTTTTTTGGGTCAAAACATATTTTTACTGTACTATGGGGAAATTCGCTAAAAACAGCTCTTAAGTCATAACTTTTGAGCCTATTCACATTACACATCTACACAGATAACCACTTTAAAACTTCAGAAAAGAGATCCGTTGATTATCAACTGTATCAAGATTCCAGCGTTGTGATGTCCCAGAGTTCATAGGAACCCATTCATTACCACCACCCTTACTGCACCTCAAGCATTAACCTATCCCCAACCCCTAACCATGCTCTACCTGATGTAAAAGTAGCCCTTTGGCATCCTGAAGACTTCTGGGCACTCACTGTGTTTTTCAATATTCAGGGGAAAATGCTACAGGATATAGGTTTAATGATGTAGCAGGTTACTTTCCAGATGTATAATAGCCTGACAGGTTAGATTTACAAATATTTTCACAATAACCGCATAGGTTTAAGTCCACTCATGATGGAGCCTGTCATGTTAAATTTCCAGGGAACTTACTGAGACAAAAAAGTACACTCTACAAACAAAATACAATTCTTTGTCCTTTGTGCATCTCATATCATTGTTGTTATAGAAAATTACACCTAAAAAAATAATATGGATACAATTTACTCCTCTTGTTCAAATGGTAGTCCTTACCCAATGTGTTCAAAGTATATTTTTCTGTAGGCAGTTTTTATAACAGTAGACGAAATATTAAAATAATGACTAAATAAAACTTGACTATTACAACAATAACATTTAAGGGATCTACAAGTATTAACTTTAAAATACAATACCTATGTTACAAAAATTTAATGAAAGTACAAAGCATGAAAGGAGGTTAATGATGTCATTCCTAAGCAAGAAAAGAAAACTAATTGCGAGTCTTAAGGAAGAGTTAACAATATTAAAGCGAGAAAGTAAACGTGGGGAGGAGAAGTGGTATTGGGAGTACTTAACCCCAATGGTTGAGGTGGTGTTCTATCAGTTGCATATCAAACTCATCCTGCACTCAAACTCTCTCCCCTCATCCTCATGTGTCATTCCTCCCTCCCCTCCTTCTAAGACTCCACGTCATGAATCACACTCAAGAGTACTCACAACCACTCTCTAACATTTCTTTTCACCTTTGAAACATTTCACAGATTGAATTGATTTTAAAGTCCCTTTTTCTTTAAGAAGGGATCAAAAGAAAACATAAATAATTATCGACCAATCACATTACTCTCAAACATATCAAAGATTTTTGAAAAGGTTATGTGTGATAACCTAATAACCTCGGTTGTCTCACCTGATTAGGTGTGGATGAGGCGGGGTATGGAGAGTTGCGAGGTATGATAGGTGGTTTGTTGCGTCTGCGCTCCTCTGCTAGGCGATCTCTAAGGTCCAGGTTGTCCCTCTCTAGAGCCGCCTGTTGCCTTCTCAGGTCTGATACGAGTGCCAACAACTCCAGCTTTTGTGTTTCCAAAGATGATCGAGTGAGCATTTCCTAGGAAGAAATACACCTTGCTTTAATTTCTTATATTTTTGTATAATCAGTATAATTCAATAAGTATTGCTAAGATAGAAACTTTTACGATTTCTACTGAATTATATTATATTATCTGAATCATTTGAGGTCGTGGCATATAAGGATACTAAACAAATTTTTTTAGTTAAATTTTTACAAATTTTTTACTACTATTTTTGGGGGGTATTTTATAGAGTAAAGACAAAGTCCAGCCGAGCTTTTATTATCAACATCACAGAACCATGCACTGAACGTGTAGATGAAGATTTTTCAATCATAAAATTTACAATCCTAAAGGACGATGATTAATTAACTTATTAAAACGATGGATGATACGATTGTCTGTGATGGCGGGAGCTGAGGTTGATGTCCACTGGACCACAGATGTCCTAATTTTGCAGTGATCGCAGTAAACCATGATAATGTTTATTGTGAATGTAGGAGATGGTGATAATGATGATGATGATGTCTTAATGTCTACAAGACCTTGTTAGATGTTCAGCATTTTGCTACGATCACGGAAGACGATGATGTTTCCGAAACCGCAGGAGATGATAATGATGTCTTCACAACCGGGGAAGATATTCAGGAATTTGCTGTTGTCACAGCATCTGCCTTCTTTAATAACGGTTCAAATTACTGTAGCTTTATTTTATTACTCTTTCTGTTTCTGCAATTTGGATAATTGGAGGTTTAGATGGTTAGTGTTTGGGTAGTTGGGAGTTATGTGATTAATATTGATTCAAATTTCAAAGCAATATTCTCTTTTAGTCTGGTGACCATAAATTAAACATGATGGCCAGCAAAAGGTTTATGAGTAGAACATAAATCCTGTATAGAACCAAGAAATTTAAATTTTTTGATCTTCAAATTCATTGTTAGGCTGTGCACATCAATAGCTTGAAACCTTTTTTGTACCCAAGTACGGGTACAGGAATTTTGACATAACTCTTGATACTGGGATATTTCCCAAGATTTGGTGGTGCCGAAAATTGTCTTTGGGTACTGCCACATATCTAGTTGATTTGATACATAGTAACACTTGTTTGTGAACCTTAGGTCACCAACAAGTGTGTTATGAGAAAGCAAGCCAATTTATATCCAACCAAGTCATTACATTATTTACTTCCTTAACACAACATTACGTTAGATAATCATGCTACTCACTCTGTTGAGAACATCTTCAGCCGTGTGCAGTTGTTTCTTCTTCTCATCAAGAGCCTTCTCAAGATCCAAGATCTTCTCTGACTGGGCATCAATCTGTTCCGTCAGTACAGAGACCTGGAGAGACAGTCGATCTTTGTCTGCCTCTAGTCTGCGAACCACCTCTTCTGAGTCTGTGGAACTCTGCAAAATAGACAAGTAGTGCTATAAGTTTACTCCACATAGCCTTTTAAGACAATACGTCAAGAAAACAATGTAGAGCATGACATTGAAAGCTACGTTACCATCCCGGTGGGCTGGATCGCAGCTGAAAGCTTTTAGGTCAGCTCACACTTTTAAGGAAACAATGGTAAAATTAAAATTCCAAACATTTATGTTGCTACAAATTAAGTAGTGGCAACATTTTTGAGACTTCCAAAGATTAAATTAGTTCAATACTTATATAGATTTGTTAAAAAATAGAAGTCTATGTTGCTTGGACTATTGCTTACTCTGTGACTGGTTCATTCAACTCTGTTCTTTTTGGATAGAAAATATGCTTGATATCGATATCTTAATAGAAGGAAAGTTTACCATAGAATTTAAACGTAGATTCTTATGCCTAATAGTTTATCTAAATAATTACGGAATTGTAATTAATACCTCAGGCATATCCCTCAAGGATAGATAACTGTTATCATCAACATAGATAACAAAAATGGAATAGTATCAGTACCAAACTGGGTTGATTACTGAGCATTATAGCTGAGCCAGATGGTGTCGCTTAATTTGCAGTAAGGTAAAATTATCAAATAAATTAATTGAATGTTGTAATTTTTTATTGTATAACAGAAATAACTATCAGATCTTACATTCTACTCTAAAGTAAAACTTTTGTGGATCGCATTAGTTATTTACCAATAATGATTTGTTTACCCAAAATTTATATTTTTTTACAGTTTATGTTTTTTTATTTCTATATTATTTTTTTATGTTTGTAATTAATTTTGATTATCATTTGGGATTAAATGATAAGAGTAGGCCATGTTTAAATTGTTTTCAGGCTGATAATTAATTCATTTAATGCACATTGTATAGTCTTCAAAAAATTCCACAGACACAATATTTCAAATGAAATATTTACACAAGACATGATTTACTTCCAAAAGTGCAGCATTTTTGTACTTAACACGCTGAGCAGCCCTTACATGTTGAAGACGATTCCGATTCAAACCTTTTTTTTTACCTAAAAGCCATTATTACTTTCAAAATATGGAATAGTGAAGTTTAATTCAAGCAGAACAAATACAGCTTACACATGGAATTATTCTGAATAGTTACAGAACAAATACAAATTTAAAGATGTTCCAACTTGTTAAAACTAAACATAGACTGGAAAAGGCAACAAAGCAAAGACTGTAGAGCTTAGTGGGTGGAACATCTTTATTTATACAAGCTTTTCACTGTGATTCCTGTTGGAAGAAATGCACACTGTTACAGACAATAAACCCTAATGTAAACAGTAGAAGTCTTGAGAAAAGTTCTTCAGCTTCGCAAAATGGCAAAACTCTCTTCTCTGTTCTTTTCTATATGATGAAAGACACTAACTAAACAACAAGGAGAGTTTGAACACAACTAAAGTAACAGATAATAATAAATTTTTTTTACATTAATTTGTAAATTAATTTAATTACAACAACATATATTTCTTATATGCATAACATGTAAATAAATACAAATTTCTGTTGTCTGTACAAAATATATCTAAAATGTTATTTATAGAAAGAGAGCCTTTTCACCCTGTGATATTTGCAAGGATAGTGTATTTTGAGTGTAAGTGAATAAAAACAACTTAAACAAAATAATGGTCTGTAAAAATAACAAAACAGATTTGCTTATTCACCTTCTTATCAATATTAATAAACTTGGTTATAGCAGGCAGTTATTACAATGTTAAACAACAAAAATACTGATATTGATATTATTTTCACATTCATTTTATCTAGGTAATAGTCAAAAATGACTATTTTCTAAAGATTTAACCAGGCATTTTTTCCACGGGTAGGGATATGTTTTACACAAGAACACAGTGGATGACAGTGAGGCGAACACCAATGGAAGTGAGAGTGGTAATAACGTGGCATTCATACAAAAGCCTTGTTCACAATAAAGTGCCCTCAAACATGAGGAGGGGTGTATTTCAGTAGCTATCCCCACAAAATAACGCATACACCAAAGCACCACCCCAACACATTACCTTTGATTCAATGAGCACATCTTTAAAAATAATTTTGTACAAAGATTGGGTACTTACGTATTATACTGACCACACCCAATAATTATAACCTAAACTACTCTAAGGGTGGTTAGCTTAGGTTAGGAAGATTTTTTTATTTAAACCAATCATAATCTTATTTGGAAGTCGATTTATCGGTGTGGTCGGTATAATACGTAAGTATCAAAAATTTATTTTGTTTTTTAGAAATAAAGGAAATTACTAATTTCTTTAAGTAGAAAAGTTTTATTTTCACATTGTCAGAAAAAATGTTTCTTATTTTTTTACGTCTTCAGAAGTTTATTAAAATTATTTTGTAAACATTTGATTGAGGACGATTGCTTTTAATAAAGTTTTACCATACAAACTAATTTAACTAAATTCATGTGGAGAAACAAAAATTAATGTAGAGTGAATGAATCTATACTTATTTAATACGCAAGCAGGTTTTTTGTGACAATTATTACTCCTCCGAAACTGAAACTACTAAACCGATTGACATGTTTTTGGTGTCATTGGAAAGAGCGTAACATGAAGTTGTGCAGGAAACTTTCTTTTTAGGGAAATAATTAGAGGGTGAGGCCCTGGGGCCCTTTAAAGTTTCGTATTTCTCCATAAGATTAACATGGGAAACAAAAATTGTTATGAATTTGTTCCAGCTGTTGTCAGAAATTAAAAGTGAGAAGAAGATCATATGTTAATTGAAAACAGTCAATAAGTTTGCTAATTAAACACTTTGCTACAAACATTTACTGATTTGGTTGAAATGTAATATTTGATATTTGAATTTGGGTTGGCGTAAATAATTACAATGGAAAAAGCGAGAGAGCCTGGATAAATTGACATAATCTGTTATTTCAATTCCATAATCTTTGAGTCGAATCTTTTAAAGTAATAAGAAATAATGACTGTTATTAGTTTTAAAATAATACTTATAAATTGCTCTAATTCGAGCAACAGGGACACTAGTAATAATAAAAATACCCCCCACTGCAGCAAATTTGCAGACTATGCAAATTGTTCTTTACCTTGCTTGAGTTCCACTCAAATATTCCTATCATATTTATTTCCTGTTTCAATAACATTAAGTTAAATTGAGTAACTTTGTTTTACTCCTACAGGGAGTATAATGTGTATTTTTTTATTAATAGCTTAGTATCAAATATACAGGTTTGCCTGATTTTGTTAAAATATCCGAAAACAAGTAAACTACAACAGTTTATTCATTCTCTATAAGAATAACATAAGAATTTTAAATTTACACTTTTTGGGAATTTTCCAAGGCATACAACAACGCTTCAATGTACTAAATAACTTCTTTTTGTAAGCTCTACATAACAGTAAGGAAAGAAATTGCAAAATTTTAGGTTTTTAAGTTCAAAAATGGGAAAACCAATTTTTACCCCATAAACCCCCGTTCCCGAGGTCCGATCATGGTGGTTCGCGAACGAGTTTGAATAAAATGTAGGTTTACATGTTTATACATAATTTCATAAAAGTCGGATAAATTTTGCTCGAGGTGTTATCGGACACATATTCTGCACTCATCTTGCTCATATGGGTTAAATACCCACCTAGGTGGCATCCCTATCTCAATTAGTTGACAATAGATTGATAAGAATTTGAACGGATTGGGTTTTTGGCTTCTGGGGGCCTCAAAACAAAAAAGTAAATCGGTCCCTTGGTTCAGGTCTTATTATGAGACCTACGCTAATAGCTCAGTAGGGGAATAGGCCTACGCTCTATTCCCTATAAAGGAAATTCGCTAAACCCAGTCTCAAGTCAGTGGTAGCAGCTGGCAATATTATACAATTTCAGTCATCCCTGGTTTGGCAATACGACATATAAATAAGTAATAGTGTTTCAACATTACTGCACATACCCAGAAGGGCTATCATACATACAATATTTTGAGGTACAAAAACAAAGCAAATTAATAAAAGCCTCATACCAAAACATGCAAGGTCTGACTGTACCTTAAAATACCTATACTGCGGGTACAGTTGGTCGCAGAAGTACGGGGTGATATTCCGATGATGACAATGATAGCATCCGATAGGTTGACTGAGCCAATGACAGTCCAGGCCTGGGGTGCTGCCGTAGTGATGATCTTTTTGGTGGTAATCTGGAATGTCTTGACAACTCGTAGAACAGTTGTAACAGATATTCCTACAACTTCCTCGGAGGATATCGTCTGTGTAAACTTTCCTCGAAGGAGAGTGATATCGAGTATGAACACTGGAGGATTTGGATTTTGTGTCTCGTTCTTTCCGGCCCCTCAAACTACCAGATTTGTTCCGGTATGTAACCGGTTTCCCGGGGTCTGTACCAGCTGAATTGTACAGTTCGTTGTACTTATTCTGCATGTCGACCGGTTCAGGAGTTTGTTCGGGTGGTTCGGGTGGCTCCTGGCAGTTTTGGATCCACTGGAAATCCTCATCACACCCCGTAGTGTTCTGGTCTGCAAAGGGACAAGGTTGGTAAAAATGAAATAGCAGTTTATAAATCAAAATAAATTACATTTCTTAATTACGACACTAAAAAAACTTTACAGTAGAGAGAAATTTTATAGCAACCTACTTTTACTGTAAGGTTATTTACCTGTACATACACTTTTGGTAGCCTTATTCAAAAAATTTGGAGTTTGGTGTTGACTGCACTGCGTAAATGTAACATCTGTTCATGGCCTTTTTTCACAATATAAATTATTGTGTATTTTTAAAAGATAACAGATTTAATTTAATTTAGTAAAATTATCTTAAAACTAAATTTAGAATCCTGTTTCTTACTTTTTTTCAACATCCACTTAGTTGATAAAAAAGTTTCTATTGTACAGTAAACCAGCCTACGAGACATATGAAACAAATACTAGACAATTTTATACGCAAAGAGAAATAATGTATGTCATTATCAGTTTAGTGTACTCTATATCTTATCTTACTGTATGTCAGAAAATGCTAGTACTTTTACAAATCTTTAGAATAACCATACACACCCTTATAAGAAAGCTAAACAAATGGTGTATTTCACAGGAAATTGTACAAATATTTAGAAAGAACAGTATCTATTTGTAGTGATATGAAAAATTGTAATCTTACAAATACATAAAATACTAACAGTAAAAAATATTTACTACAAGATTGGCTTACATTTATTTCATTCTTTGTAATAAAACGATATATAAATATGCTACAAACAATTATATAAAATGTCCACCACAGTTTGAAAAGTTGAAAACTTATTATTCAATCAAGACAGTTCACAACTGAGTTTGAAGTTTCCTCTGGTGTCAGATATCTGGTTCAACTCTCATTTCATCAACTGTCACTTTTAACTAGTAAATTAAAGGTATAATTTTTTACATTTCCATCCAGGAAAAGATTAAAACCTTCATCTTTAGTTTTTGCTTTATATTCTTTTTATTAGTAGGTTGATTATGTAGTAACCTATTTTTTCATTAATTAAAACTATCTAGGACTTTAGTGGGAAGAGTTAATTCTCCAAAACAGACAAAGTTCTCCTAGTCTAGATGAGACTTTTATCCTCTTAAAAGTGATTTCTGGATAAATGAACCTAAAGCTTAGGGTGCTTTAAACCACTTGATCATGATGTTATGACATAGAGGATGATAATTAATGATAATATGACGAGAAATATAGTTCATCACTCGGGCAAAAGTGTCTTTTCAACCCTTGCTTGTTTTCCGACCTCAGTTTCGCCTCGATCGTAAAACTTGAGCTCTGGTCAAAAAGAGTCACTTTACGCCCTAGTGATGAAATATACTATTTTGTATAACTGGAGGGCCTATCAGATAGATACTGACCGTCCCTGTGGTTATCGTCAGTGTCAGAGGCGGAGGCGGAGGTAGACTCCTCGGAAGACACAGAGTCCGTCCAAACAGGAGTCTGTCCTGACAATCCTGTGTCTCTAACTGGGCTCTCTGCACACAAAAATTCACACTTCATATAGAATGGTAAAAACTATATTTAGATAGCATCACTGCAATACTTGAAACTTTGGCCTACTATAGTTAGTTATCACTTGTAGCATTTAGATTTTTACTAAACTTTGATCAGTTAGGGCTTATAATGAGGCCTAGTAAAACTTCTAGTCATAATTCTATATTATTTTTATGACACCCTTCCACATTTTATACTAAACCACAATTTAATTGGATTTATATTTTAACCACTTCGGATTGGTTGTTTTAATAGCTAAGCATTTAGTTTACTCTTAAACAGTTTTTTTTTTTTTTTTCAATTTCACAGTCCATCCATGTACTAAGCCATAAAAATCAATGTACTAGTTTTAAGTTATATTATTGTATGACCCCATTGTAATTTCTTAATGAAATAACAAATAAAGAATATTTTGATTTGATTTAATCAAAAGAGAAGACAATATTTCAAATGGAGTTAACTAATAAAAATAGTTGAGTAGAAATTGTAACAGTAGTTTCCACATATTGTATCCAATAGACATTTGTCAACTTTGCGTCTATTCCCATAAGGACTTAAAAAAATTTAGCTTTGATTAAGGCCTAAAGGACAGCTTTAGTGAAATTTACTAAATTATTTTTTTATGGATAAAGATTTAGAACTAATATAAGCTATGCAATCATAAGTATTGTTAGACTAACACAATATTAAGTATTGGTAAACAATTAATATTACTTTTATTTTTTTATCTGTGTTTGCTTTCAGCTGTCACTGTTGTTCTTACATACTCGTACTGCTTATTCTACAGTAATAATCTTACATAATTAAATAAAAATCTAGAAAAGGTTCTTTTTAAAGACAAAGAGCTTGGGGAGAGGCTATTAAAAATCGCTAATGACTATCTACTAATGTATTTTAATAACTAACTGTACATATTTTTAAATATTCAAAACTGTTGATTGTGTTGCCACTCATATTGATAATTTAGACTTCAAAACAAATGTTAACTCTTTTTTAAAACTTTATTTTAAGTACTAAATCCGCGGACTAATAAAACAGCCTACTAGCTCCCAATAATTTCAAACATTATCTTCGCTACACTGGGGATTGAGAGCCAATTCAGCCACCGATGATGGGACAGCAATGACAGTATATAGTTGTTCATTATTGGGCTCAAGTTAATTAACAATGTTCCATTCACTTTGATAATGACAACCACCTAACTGGGCCTGTCTATAACCTCATTCTAACCATTTGTAAAACAAGAGTGTTTAGAATGAAATAACAAATGAAATATTGTCAATATTTTGGGAATAATTATAATTTCATTATATGAAAGTATAATATATGTGCTTAACCCTACATTGAGACAACACACTAAATCACCTCACACACATCACTAAATTTAACCCTAGCTATGTCATTTTTATCAATTATTTTTGGGTGTTTTGGTCAGAAGTGCTTTGTTTGAAAATATTTTACGCTACTTAATCCCAAATCACTTAAAAGATTTTTCTGTCTATTGGGTGTGATGATGACCAATTAGACGGGTTGAAATGAGTATAAAATACCAAATTTTTTATATACATTTACTGTTTTGTCGTGGACTATTTTTTCTGTAATCTCTATTGAGTAATAGGAGCTACTATCAAAAAAGAATTTATAGCATAAACAGAGTAGTGGACATTTAAATATTTTTTGAATGGTAAATTATTTGAGGCCACCATAATAGTCTTAAATTATGGACCCTTGTGAGGAAACGCTATTGATTTTTAAAGAAGATTGTATTGCTTGATTGTATTATTACTTAGTTAGTTCTGTTGCTATACGGTAGTGTAGAGTGTTAAATTGGATTAATGATAAGGTGGTTTTCCCATAGAATCCATTAAAAGAATTTGCACAATAGAGGCCATTTTTTTTATCTACCACCATGTGCTACCACTGCAGAAATTGGACAAGTACTTTGTGCACCTACGTTAAATAAAATTAATTGCATTTTTTTCAGTAAAACGGTAAAAAAAAAACATAATACTGTAGTTCTAACCCAAAACATCTAGAAATAATTTCCATGTGCAAGCAATGACAAATCAAAATTACCATTGTCTTATTGAAGATTTAAACATTGTAACTGACCAAAATATTACGGTTTTGGTATAAGACTCTACCAATAGATGAGAACAGTAATAACTTTTTTAACACTACATTATCAATTTTTGTACAACTTGGATGAGCTTCTATAAGAGCAATGATTGCAAAAAGATTAAATTTGTTATAAAGATCAATTAAATAATATTTCGTGAAAATTGTACTAATTATTTGAAGCCTAGAACTTACGTAGAACTCCGATAGGCCTGAACCCTCACAACACTGTGGAGATATCTGCCTCTTTCGCAAGCTTGCTATTTCTGTCCATAACAGCACAACACTTATATCTGGACTGGACTTCCAGTAGAAATGTTCCAGAAATGCCATAATTTAACGGTTATCAGATAGAGAAGTATTGAAACCACTGAGAAGTACCAGGAGATACTGTGCACCTTTTAAGTGGTTGGTATTACATTGATCAATTAAATATTTCCATTCATCATTATGAAATATAAATTACAACATCCAATTCATACTTATGTTTAGTAAAACAGGTGTAAGGTCAAAATGGTAAAAAGTTCATACTAGTTGAATTAAAATTAAAACTATAGTTTAAATTATATATTAAGCCAAAATAACGGGAAGATTTTTCAAGCCACTTGAAAGTGTAAAGCGGGTTACAATTATTATCACACTTTACAAACAATTTTCATAAAAGCCTGCCAACTTTATCTGAATTACATTCTATTTTGATTCAGAAACATCATCACAATATTAGAGAAAGCCATTAAATAAAATATTAAACACACAACTTGTCTTCCCAACCGTGAGATTCAGAGTTTTTATATACTGTTGAAAACACTTGACAAATATCAAATATTAGTTGAAATAACTGATACTGCAACCTCAAAGTATTGAAAAGCCATTAAATAAAATTAAACACACGGGTTGCCTTCCCAACCATGAGATTCAACGAGTTTTTATTTACTGTTGAAAACACGTGACAAATATCAAATATTAGTTTAAATAACTGATACTGCAACTTCAAAGTATTGAAAAACCATTAAATAAAATTAAACACACGACTTGTCTTCCCAACCGTGAGATTCAGAGGTTTTATTTACTGTTGAAAACACTTAGCAAATATCAAATATTAGTTCAAATAACTAATACTGCAACCTCAAAGTATTGAAACAAATATTTGTAACGTAATTTGGGCTGATGATAAGCTGATATTGAATACAAATACCAACAATTGACACTACAGAGGGAGGGGACGGGGTTTGCATTGCAAAGTTTGGGCCGGACAAAATAGCAGTGAAACTGATTTAGAAACCACACAACTTTTTAATTTTTAGTTTAATATTTAAACAAAGTACTGTACTGAGAATTGAGTTGGGTATTAATTAAACCTGTATATCGTAATAAAATTACTCACCAAGGTGCATACAAGGTATTTGTATTTTGTGTTGTAAAAGTTTAAATTTATGTTGTGGAGGGGGGGGGGGTTATCCCAGTGTTAAGATAAATGGATGGAGAGGTGGGGGTTAAAAAGCACAGATGTATTATTTAGAGGTTTTCCCTTCCTAGATACTTGATTATAAAAAATATTGTGTTGGTCCTACTAAAATCTTAATACACAACTTATTAAAATGTCATAAAGTTTTACTAACAAAGTTATTTTTATGGCATATGCCATGAAACTGTTCCAAAAGAAGGTTAGTTTTCTCGTTATTTGATTATATACAATTTATGCTAAAATGCAAATCCAAAGAGGTTTAAAAAGAATCCAATTAATTTGCGTAATGACTCTATTGTATGGTTTAATTGGTCAATTAATCAAGCCTTAGAACATCTTTCACTGTATAATGGTCGAATAGGATTACTGACAAGTTGTTGAGGAAAACTGAATTAATTACAAGTTATTAAAACTGTAGTAATACTTTTATTTTTAAAGTGAACAAATTTAAGTTGTATAAAAAACTATTTTGAACCACAAAAAATGTTTTCTCAACAATACTGTAAATGTAAATTGAAATTTTTTATGACAAAAATATCCCTTTCAGCACACAGTCAAAACAACATCAATCATGATTGTAGTATAAACTTGTATTTTAAATTAAATTTCACTGGAGGATCAACATACAGCTTCAATAAGCCAGCACACGTGGCGCAAAGACAGAGTTGTAAATAAACAAAATACAAGATCGGAGAGTTAAGTAGTTTCTGGTGTAAACATCAGTCTTAGCTCTGCAGTCCAACAACCAGGCCTAACTGGAAAGGTCTTTAAGGGGACATTGAACCAGGCATTAGCTTACTTTTACTGGACAAAACATCTCCAAAGAAAATATTGAACCAAGCATCACACCCGTGATCGGAAAAAATTTACATGGAAATATTGAGCAAAGCATAGCATTTTTAAATGAAAAATCTTTAAAGAAAATACAAATTTTAATTTAAGAAAAGAAATTAGTTTTAGGCCTATTAGTTATCTTTTTTAGAAGATACTGCAGGAACAATTACAGTAGTCTATAAAGTGGATGGTGTCTAAATAATTAATGTTTTAGTTTCCATTTTATAGTTTTAGTTCACTGTTAAAACACAGTAATAACTTGTCAATAGAACAAAGAACAATTTTGGTTAGCCTATAATAACATTAATTACCACATTATTTGACAGGGAATTATTTTATATTTAAGAGGAAATTATTTTATATTTAAGGTCAAAATAAATTAATGGATGGATAATGTATCCAAAAAAGAATCCTGAAGGGGATTAACTTTAATATAATGGACTATAAGAATAGTACAGCTATTTAGGGAAACATACTAAACATTCATCTATTTTTATCCTTAAGAGCCCAACGAGATTATGTTATTGCTTTTTTTTAATATAACCTTTTTTGCACAGTATTGAA